AAATTCAGTGCAAATTCCACCACTGATTCAGTATGAGATCTTTTACTCAGTTTACACTCTGGCAACAGTGTCTGTGAAGTGCTGACAAATTGTAAATGCAAAGTGTAAATGACGGACGATTACTGGCTCAAGCATCACTGAGAGCTTTGGTTTAGGGGTCTGTAGGAGAAAATGTGTCGAGACGAAATTCAGCGCAATGAGTTTCATGTGTTGTGTAATTATGAGCAGACACTACAGAATGTGGAGTCTTTGTGCAAGGAGTTGTTTTTCCTACCATCCTCCCTGCATTACTATGACAACACGTTCATTAGTGCTGTGTTTAGCACTGAGAAGCCTCTGCAGCACTGAGACAATAGCAGCACTGTGGCAAGGCAGAGCTTACATTTGAGCAGGGAAGTCAATAGAAAACGGCTTCGGTGCTTGGTCAGCATCAGTGAGATATAGACCTCAGGATGGCTGAGCATGCATATTCCTATACAAAAATGATGCGTTAGGATGTGAAATGGTAGATAATATTTAGTTTTCAGGACTTTGTGTGTAGGAACCCAAGGGATTCTGGATCCTGGATTAATTAAAGAACACAGACATTGTTAATTTTAATCTAAAGTCAATCTTATATGAACATGCAGCATGTCCTCAGATGTCAGAGTCCCTAAAACTGTAAGAGTCAGTAGTGTAGTCACTATTAGGTGTTCACTAAATCTGTGCTGGACAATGAAATTTCCTGTCTGGTGTGTTGACACCTAGCTGCATCCTGTGGCGTAGGAGCTCAAGAGAGTTTATATAGCAGCCAATTAGGCAGCAGCATCACCCTTCAGAGGGACGATGAGTATCTGTCACTATCAGCGGGTGAGGTCAGCCAATTGGAGGCAGGCATCAACCTCTAACCCACGACAAAAGCTCTGTTGCTGCCTGATGACAGACGCCGGCGCACTGAGGTGCTGAGTCAGCGCACTAATCCATGCGAACGTTTCTTGCCTTACAGTTTGTCACCCACTTGCCAGAGCCCCACCCTCCTGAGCCCATGCAGCCCCTGCAGCCCCTGCAGCCCCTTACAAACCCTTCATCCCTGGAGGTAAGACAGACAGGTCACACGCAGACTGTTTCTATAGACTGAACATGTTGAGTCACTTGAAAAAAGTCTATCATCAAAGAGTCCGTTCATCACAAAAGCAACAATTAGCTGATCCACCTAACAAGTGTTGTCCGTGTAGTCAAAGCCTGACCACAGAGGACACGGTGGACTACAGAGTTGCACTGTATGACAGGTCCCTTCATTAGCAAGAACATGGGCACTGTATATTTGGATTCAGGCCCTCATACACTGAACTGCTGGTGCAAATACTCAGAGCACCAAATATGTATCAATCCACGACTGACAATAGCCCCCAAACAATACAATATCTACTATGGTTTTTAGTCACATTTGCCAAAGACTACAGCGCCCAGATGTTTTAAGATACTAGTCAGTATTTTTTTTTTAAATGAAAATATGTATTTGTTTTTAAAGGTTAACATCCTCATTTGTAACAAAAGGGCTTGGGCCCAATTTCTACCAGAAGGAGATGGCAAGGAAGATGCCACACTATTTGCAGTGATACAAAAAATATAGTGAAGTGATAAGTGAAGACTTTGGTCACCTGAATCATAGATGCAGCTATTTTTTTTATTATGTGATGTTATGGTGAAAAGATTTGAGATTCAAAGTTAATCCTTGACCTTTGAAACAGTTGTTGACAAACTATCTCAGCACAAGGTCCATTTAGTAGCTTTTCTGGTGCTTTCAATCATACCACACAGTCTTTACATATTTGAGCTTCTACAGTTCTGTATGATTTTAAACACATGCTACACACAAAAACATCAACATCATGGTATCAAAAAGTATGAAATATAAATGGAGAGATGAGGAAATATACACTAGGTCTGAATTGGGTTTTTTTTTTATATTAAGGTGCTTCTGTTTCACCAGTGAAGACCTATCATTTATTAGTTGTCTCTAAGTCTATGTGGGTTGCTTGGCAACGGTGCTGGGTGCTGTGGAGGAAGGCAACACTGCAAACAGAGGCGGATACATCCAGCATGTTTCTGGATGTGTGAGCAGTGCTCACACCACATGCTGTACAGTAATGAAATCCATTTGCTCTGTTGAAAAATGAGCAAATCTTACTGGGAATACAAAAATTTCTCAGGCGCGATAAACACGAATTCCTCAACAAGACTCAGTTTTCACACAGTCATTATCTGATGGCACAGTACGACAGGTTGCACATTTGTTGGCATCATTCCTCAGCATTCTGCATTGGAGACCCCCCCTGTGTTATTCCACCTCCCAGAAACATGTTCATTCTCTTGCATCAGATTCTATATTTGTATGCAAGTAAATTGCTTCCCCGCATCAACCTTTGACTCTGATCACTGAATATGTAGCATTTTGTCTTGATGGCATTGGTGCAGAGATATCTTCACAACTAATATGACAGGTATCTGCCGGTTAGAGACTGTCAGATAACCGAAGAACATGTTCATACTGTAATTTCTGGGTCCAGAGGATTGGTTCATGCCGCTCAGGAAATCTTTGTAGACACTGGAAAAAAGGACTGTCGCAAGGCTGAGGCGTGAAAAGGGGACTCATATTATTCATATTATTACTTAGAAAGTCATATTATTAAAGTTGATAATAGGAATGTTAGTGACCTCCACATATGTGCAGTTCTGATGATAATCATATAAAGCACACATACAGTTCTCCTCACACTGTAAACATATCAGCTGAACTGCATATACTGTAGGGAGAAAGCATAATGTATACTACTTTTGTAGTCTCTCTAAATAAGTAAAGAAATAAATAAACTTTATTTAGATTTTGTTTGCTGTTACAAATTCATCGTTCCACTACAGTATTTTTTTTGTTCTAATTTAAAATGAAATTAAAATGCACACGTACAGTACATGATGGGTATGCATACACGTGTTAACTTAACACTAGGTACTATATGCAGTGGAATGTACCACTGTTTAAAAGTTTGGCTGGGATCCTCCCTCTACCCGACTCCTCATGGTATAACCCAACAACATATGCTGCTTTCATGTTCTGTAGGAATTTGCCCTTTTAGTGTGAAGGCGCAAGTGGCCAAAGAAGTAAACTTGAAGAAAGTGTTTCTAAGGCAATGGCTCCGACTATGATTACACCATTTTAAATGTAATAATTGCCCTTAAAATGTTCTTCATGGTCTGTGGTCATGGTTTGATACAACAACAAAAGACTGAAACTGAAATGCACACCACCTGCTTCAAAAGGTCAGGTGCAGTTTAGGTTACAACTTGGTATAGTGGCTTGTGGAAAGATTTGTGGTCAAACATAGCACCATCTTGCACTCAGTACCTTTGTTTTAGGTAGGCTTTACATGCCAGTACATCAGATTATTAATGAGATCTCATCCAACAGAGCTACTACCCTTAAAAGAAAATGTAGCCTCTAATAGACCAGAAGAATAAAGCTTTACAAAGGATAGTATAATCCAATGAATCAGTTCCAAAAGGAGAATAGCAGCACGTTTATATTATCATGCTAGGACTACATAAGTTTTGATTCGTTTTATTTGCAAAATAAATTCAAACAGTATAGATATGCAATTTCCATTGTACCCTCACAGAAAGGGATGACTGCACTAATCGACCATGGTGTGACCTCCAGAAGAACAGCAGCTGAGTCATAGATCTCCACCACTCATCTTCGTGTTCAATCTTATGTTTCCTCTAAAAATAGTCAGGATGTAAACAAATGAAAACAATTCTTTAAAGCACTGGCTATGTTCAGCTTTTAGTAGGTAGCTTTGTAGCACTAGCGTAGGAGTCAGTGTGTGGAGCTTAGTTTCACTCCTACACCCCAAACAGCCTCTGTGTTTTGGTATGACAAAGTGTTTTGGCAAAATGAAAACTCTCACATTGGTCCCTCAAAACAATGGGGGTCGGAGTCCTGCAGAAACAATCAGTGAAATAATCATTTGAATAATTGATGCAATTTTTAGCAAGCCTTTTTAACATCTGGCGGGGAACAACAGAAGGAGAATTTTCTTTCAGGCTAACTCTGGCTCATTTACAATTATTTTTTCTGCTGATCAATGAGCATTATCCTATGAACTTGTAGATAAAGTGGCAGTGGTGTTGAACTGTGTCAGACTGTGACCAAAGTCTCTACAAGTTTATATTACAAAATACTATAGATTACAAAAACATCTTATCTAAACGTTGTAAGTAATGTAATCATCATTTATTGCATTTTTCTAAACGCTAAAGTTTTGTTCAGGAATGAATAGAAATTTTGGTTTGTGGGCATGGCAGGACTCCCATGAGCATTTAGAATGACAATTTCTGATGATTGATCAAAACAGTAGCTGATTTCTGCTTTTCCTGCTTCTCTCAGGTGGACTTGCTGCTTTTTAGGTTTTGTATAATTGAAAATTTAATGTGTTTGGGCTTCGTTATGGTGGTCCTGAGTGGCAAAACACAACAAAAAAATTTTGGAAAACACATTAGCAAAACAAGATAAAGACGTCACCTTGGGGAATAATAATCTCGGAAAAAAGGAACAAGCAATCATTAGTTGCAGACCTTAAATTTATAATAATGATGGTTAGCTGTAGCCTAAAGCTTGGGTGGATTTTTTCGCAGCAGTGTGAAACCGGAGGTTGCAAGCAGCACTTGAAAGCAGCATCAGGCTCCAGCTTCCTCACACGGACCCACACGCAGCCAGCAGTGTGTTTGGCTAAACTGAAGTGTTCCGCCACTGTGTGAACATTGCTACACACCAAACTAACCGACATGGAAGTGATGTTTCGGGGTTAGGACTACAGCCAGGGAGGTGCACGGAGGATGTAACGGCAGCCCCGGAGTGGTTTGGACAGACTCGGGGTGAATACAAAAGGAACCGCCGAGAGGGAGAGACGATGGTGGGGAGAGCAGCAGCAGAAGCAGGAGGTGGAGGCGGAGGAGCGGGTTTTACAACGACCCCAGCTTCAGTTTTCTGAAATCAACATTAACTTTGAAACGGGTTTATTCAAGAAAACATCTCCTCCAGCATGTCGGATCCCAGTCATTGCTCTGCGGTGCCAAGTCAGAACAAGTCACATTTTGTTCCCGGAGCGTTGCTGAAGCGCTCAAAAAGGTAGTTACCAAGTATTGGCGCGTGGACGTTAAGCTAGTTTGGCTGTTTATTTTGGTTTTTGCTGTGATAAAATCCAGTAGTATGGCAGTTTATGGGTCGCAGTTGGCCTTCATTTAATGTTAATGCTTTCACGAGGCTTCCTTTATGTTAAAACTAGCTAGCTCCTCTGTTCTCCTCTCAGAAAGCCGCTCTAACGTTAATCCTGTTTGTTCAGTACAACGCAGGAGTTTATGTTTATATGCAGATTCTGTTCAGAAAATAACTTAACTGAAAGCAGCTACTGCATTTTGCTAAAAAAGCTTGTTGTCAAATTAATATTCTCAAATGAAATTCCCCAAATATCAGACGCAACATGAAGCTTTCTTTGTTGAAATTGGATGTAACATGCTGCAGTTTACAGTTGGCACATAAAACCATCGGATCTTCTTATAGAATCACACCAGTGGCAGTAAAATAAATACTCACAAAAGATCTCTGATGTTAAGTCAGACATATTTTCGCTTCTCTGTTTATGCTGGTTGCTGTTGGCTGTGTTATGATGATAATGAGTGGCTGGGTGTCTGTCATGTTTACTGTTAGATTACTGGAGATAAAACTGCAGCTTCTGACTGTCTGATGCAGGCTGTTGCACTCAATTGAACTGTGGCCTGTCCATTGTGGACTATGGCTGCAAGTAGCAGTAGCTCTCCATTTATCTGTTAGTTGTCTTGTCGATAATCAATCATCTTTAAAATGTCAGGAACTAGTGTAAAATGCACATCACAATTTCCCAGAACCCAGGGTAATGTCTTCAGATTGCTTGTTTTGTGCAACCATCTGTACAAAACACAAAGATATTCAATTTGAAATCATATAAAGCACAGAAAAGGAGAAAATCCTCACTTTAAAGTGGTTTGAAACAGCTGCAACTAATGATTCTTTCATCAATCTATTTGCTGATAACATTCTTTATTGAGCTTGTGGTCTATAAAATGTCAGAAAATTGTGAAAATTGTGTATTATAATTTCATTGAACCCAAGGTGGCTTCTTCACGTTGCCATTTTTTGTCTAACCAACAGTCTGAAACCCTAATTATTCATTTTACTACAATACAACACAAAGAAAGAAGCAAATTATCACATTTGGGAAGCTGGAAGCCATTAAATGTTTTGCAGTTTTGCCACTGTCAAAATAGGTGACGCCTGATTTCCTGTTGATCGTTTAACTGTCTAATTGTTTTAGCTCCATTGTGAACTGTCAGCCCTGGTGTCACAGTAAAATCTGTTAATTTGAATGTCGTAGGCCAAAGTTTGCCCCTTCTTTTCAGGACCAGAGGGTTATTTAGGACTCCCTCCCTTTACTTACACACACACACGCACACACGCACGCACGCACACACACACACACACACACACACACACACATATATATATATATATATACACACACACACATACACATATATACACACACACACACACACACACAGACACAGACACAGAGTTGTGGACATCTGTGGGTCAAGCTGGTCCTGCTGTTGCTGTTGCACACACACACACAATCTCTCCAGCCTTGAGTCTGTTGACAGGAGGCTTCCCCCTTGTATTCTGGCTATCATCAGTTTTCCCTCCTCATCTGATATTGCCATGCTGGTGTGTCGTGCATTTGCTTGCAGATTAGAGTTGTAGTTACATAAGCATTTCTCAAGGCAGAGCTGCTCTGAAGGCAGAAATAATCTCATCGCTTGAGTTAAATCTCAGTGGGCAGAGACAATGAAATCTTACTCCTTCTAGTTAAGTCTCATCTGTACTAGGCCATAAAGTGTACATTTTTATTAAACTTGTGGTTTGCTTACAGTTGATAATGCCATTCTGCCTGCTATAAAAATGCATTGCTCTCAGTTGCTCAAGATGTGAATATGATACCGAGGGTTGCAAATGTAACTATGAACTCTGGATGACTGCCAGAGACTCCTGCACATTGGCATTATAAGCTAAAAACTGCATTATTGCCACCATAGATGTGAAATACTGGTGTGTAGCTGCAGAATGTGATTACTAATGAGACATATTCAGCTCACAATACCAATCAAAAGCTGCATTAGTATAATGGTGCCTGTAATATAGGTTAAATTTATTGCATTTTGATATTTTTCACATGTGACTAAAAATTTCAGACTGTCAAGTGTAGTTACAGGGACATATACTGATGCTGACTGAAAAAGACAGGCAAGCTGATGTTATGAAGCTTAGAACTCGAGTTCCACTGACTGGAGAACCTTTTAACATCCTAAATTGAGTAGAGCTGAAATGATTTATTGATCAACAGAAAAATAATCAGCAACTATTTTGATAGTCAGTTAACAGTTTCCTTTTTCCGGCAAAAATTGAAAAAAAGCTACACATTCTCAAGTTCAAGCTTCTCAAATGACAGGATTGCTGCTTATATAATAGTAAACTGAGTATCTTTTGGTTTGGGCTTTCGGTTAGACAAAACCAGACATCTGAAGACATCACCTTTGACTCTGAGAAGTTGCGATTGGTATTTTTTTCACTATTTTTTGATATTTTATAGACAAACGATTCAGCAAATTAGTCAATAATGAAAATAATCATTAGTTGCAGCCCCTAAAATTGAGTAGAAGAAAGAAGACACTAACATTTATAAATCTTTTACATCTTTATACCTGCCTTCAAAATAAGAGCTGACTAGTACTAAACAAAAATAGGCTTTTAAGAAAAACTCTTAATAAGTCAGGAAATGTAAAAACTAAAATTCAAATTGTAAATAGCACAGAAAACTTGACTGCAACTACATAGGTTTAAATTATAATGAAATAATAAAAGTGTAAGCAAAATAAAATGTTAGGTTTTTAATAGGAATATTTGTATGATTTTTATTTTTTATTATTTTGAGTGAAGTGTGAAGATGGAAAGCAACTATACAGAAAACTGGACATTGTTGTCTATTTTCACTTCTCCTACTTCCGGTTTGCACACAAGCACAGATGTGTTGTTGAGCTACAACAGTCAGAGCTTAATGGATCACAGTCTGCTACTTTAGAGGTCAAGTGTCTTCTTAATCTGTCCAGTGTCAGACTGTAATAAGTCTTTTGTGTCCTGCTGCTCAAACACAAACACACACTTAGACATAAACACAACCTGAATGACTCAGATATGTAATTGTAGTTGGATAAACCCAGGACAAAAATGATTATACTTTGCTTGCTATACATCACAGCCCCCCCCCCAAGATTATCTTATTCTTCATATTAGTGTTTAGTGATAAAAAGAAACGACAGAATTATCTATTGGAGCAGACACATCTGTGTGTAACAGTTTAGTTTTGCTGTCATCATTTTTAAAGAGAAAAAAGAGAACTTAACAGCAGCAACTGGAAACATAATGACGAGAAATAAGGCAATATTGTGGGGAAGAAATGATGAATGTAACAGAAAAGTGCAAAACATTTGGCAAAACAGTCTGACTGATATTGTTAATACACCTGCCTTGCATAGTTTAGCCAGGTGACCAATGGGATGCTGTTTTCATCTTAAAAATACTGCAAATGAGATGACTTTGAATGCTAAGAATAATAGAAGTAAGATAAATCTGGCTAATCGATTTGAGTGTCCTATATTTCATATTTCAAATCTACAAACTGCCGAATAAATGCTTCCAACAGCCTTAAGATGTTGATTTTTTTTTTCTTTCTTTCTTGGTTGTGCTCCAGCTGTCGCAGCAGCAACAGGAAGAGCCTCGGCGTTGGGACACCATCACCCACGCTTTCCCGGCCACTTTCTCCGCTCTCTCTCCACACTGGTAAGATCCATTTCAATGTTTTGTAACCTTTTATCCCAGCAGGTTGCAACAGGAGCACTGCTACAAAAAAAAACACGTTAGCAAAAACATGTTAGAATTGGCATAGGCTCGACTTGGTTATCAGTAGTGTAGTGCAGTGTCATTCATCAGTGTACTGCATTGGCTAGATGTAAGTGCACAAAGCAGCAAGAATACCTTTTATAGCATTATACCCATTTACAGTTTTATCCTGCAAGCATTGGTCTTAGTACCTTTACAAAGTTGTACAATCCTGCATCAAGAAAGTACAATCTGGAGTGTGGTGCATTTAATTGACCTTAAACTTGACTTCCTGCTTCATATTTTCCCTGTGCCTTGTAGAAACATGTCCACACCAACGCAGCCCATTACGTTGTCATGCTTTACTGCTGCTCTTGTTCCACTGAATGAGCTGTCAGAGAAGTTGGTGGCAGCAGGTGGTTGGTGGTCAAACCAGTCTGGTTTTAGCTCTGGTAATTTAGTTTAACAGCACTGACTCATTGGTGCTTGTCTGCATGTTTGTATGGTTTAAGAACAGTTTGAGAGATTTCTAAACTCAAGTATCAGTATTTGAAACATGCTCAAAACACACTCAGCACTAGACCCTCTCAGACATCACATTTCCAAAGTTATTTAAATGTGGAATTTAGCAGCAAGAAAACATAAAATTCCACTATTTGATTAATGACATTTAATACAGTTGCAAATGAGTTCATCATTTCTTAGGGCTCAAGTATCAGCTCGTCTCACGTATTGTTTGTAAGCTGTAGGGCACCTTGCCTCCCTCCCACGCTCACTAATACAAGATTAATCTTGTTCACTCTTAACTTGTAAGCTGCACCTCAGCCAGTATGTGGTTGTTACTGCAGAATAGTCGGACATGTTTAGATGACCTGGAGGGCACTAGCTATCAAACAATAGCCATTAACTGAGTTGTTAAAATTATAATAAGCTGGGTTTGTTAAAGAGACTCACTGATATATAAATATGACTGATATTCTACATAATATTACTAATATTACACAGTGTGAAGTAATGATGACTGAATGTCATTTCAGTACAGAATTGTATGGTGTTAGTTGGTCGGGGTTGGAGTAGAATAGACAGAAAGGGAAAAAGTCGTCTGTGTAACACAACCCAGGATTTTGACAGCACACTCAAGATGTTTTCACTTTGTTACAGAGTTGCACTGCAAATCGAAGATTATTTTTAATGCTGAAATAAAAACGAAATTAAGAAGAAAGATTGAATCTATAACATTTTCATAATCATTTTCATTATTCAAACCGACAACCGCTTTATCTAGTTTCACCAAAACAGCTTCTAGTACCCAAACGATCCTAAATTCTCTCATGTGAAATGCTCTAATGTTTGATATAAGACACAAGAAAGTTCAGATAAATCATTGAGACCAATGACTGAAAGTAATTGTTGAGATCATAGCCCGACTGGTGCTGAATTTCTGGTTATTTATTCCTTTATTTCTTTATTCTTTGACTCTGACATCGATATTAGAGAGTTTAAAAAGTGTGGAAACAATATTTTGGCCAATTTCGTAAATTTGTATTTTTTGAAACATTAACATGTAACATAAACAAAGAATCCTGATATGCATTCCTTATATTTGTATATTTTTATGAAGTTGTGAAGATACATACTGAGAGGGACATTCTACAGTTGAAAAATCATCTTGTCCTGGCTTTCTGGTGGACAAACTATATAATGGTGGAAGTGTTTTTAAATGACCTCATACCTGGTTTAGCATTCCTAAACTGCAGTCTCTTGTCCCAGGCAAATACGTTAAGCCAATATCAGCCGATCTATCAGCCTGGCTGGTTTATCAGTCTAGCTCTAATTGTGATCACAATTGAAAGTAAAGTTATCCACCATCATCAGGTTCAGCCTCCGTATCTTCACCAAGCATCAACAGTGCTTCATGTTGCTAAACTGTGTTTAAAACTTTAATGTTCTACAGAGTCGGTTTTAACTTGATGTTCAGAATTAACATCAGATCGGTGACACAAGTGCAGAAAGTGTTGAGATAATTGAAGGGCAGGAGATTTCTCAGTGGTTGGCATCCTCCTCCTGCTTTTTGTATCAACAATAGCACATACAGTGTAAGCCTCTTAATACCGTGAAGCAGCTGCACTCTATGAAAAGAGTTTTGCTCAAGAGCTCCTCATTCCAGCAGTATGTGGATGTGCTCCCTTTTGAACTCAATCAAGCTGAGGATTATTTAATCACAGAGAGCTATCAGGCTCTAATTGGTACTCAACCACTTGCATGTAAACGAACCACAGTCTCTAGTGTACCCACACCCGCAGACTCTGGTGAGACCTGCACAAGGCTTTCCCCTTAATTAAGAGTCTTCTTAGATAGACGCTCTGATATTTAGAAATGTAATACCAGGATGATATATTGCACCTTTCTGAGGTGCTGGTTAATGCTGCTGGTTTTTGCAGTGATTGAGAGTTCCTGTATAGACATGATGTCATCCTTTTTGGAAAATTTCCATGTGTAAATGCAGCCATATGGTCATCTCTGTTCTGTTTTCATAAGTTTATTATTACAGTCGTGAACAGTATGGGGAGGAACTTTGTCTTTCCTCTTTCAGCTGCAAGCAGCCCTCTAGACAGCCCCCGAAATGTGTCGACCAGCACCTGCCTCAACTTTCCATTTGCCCGGAGGTATGTACATACTGCTCTTTTGAATCCTTTCTCCCTGAAGTGATATATTTGTTTTGTTACATTTAAAGGATCTCAAGTATAGGATTTGATAAGAATATGTTTTTGATGAAATGTTATTATGCAACCTCTCTTGTATTCCATCTGAACAGTTTATACAAAGGCTGGTGCTGTATTTTAGTCTGTCATTTCCTAATAATCTTTTAAAAAGTTTATTGACAAGACTTGTATAATTTGGGACAGATTATAGGAAATTTTCTTTAACTAAAACTCAACTTTATATTCATATACTATTGAAAACTTTCCATATATGTTGAATTGTGTGCTTGCCTACAGAGAGTCTTTAGGTTACACTACAGTAGCAATTACATGGACTTAATTCACTAGAAATATTTTTTCTATAATATACATATATAAAATAAACTTCTTGGAAGTTATTTTGAAAAATTTTGAGTATTACAGAATTAATCAAGAGATTTTCCAAAGCTGTTTTGTAAATGAGCAAAATGTTGAAGTTCAAATACAGTTTTCAGTGAATAGCAGCACATATTTACCCAAAACTGCTCGTGAGTGAGTGAGTGAGTGAGTGAGTGAGTGAGTACGTACGTGGGTCCCAGAAAGATTTGGGCTACACATCATGATTTATTAAAATTACAGGAGCTACAATCACTTTTGATTCCTGAGTCTATGTGTTGTTTACATTCCATGGACATTTGTAATTTAACAGTGTGAACTCAGATTAACCCAAAAAAACAACAAGCAAAAAAATAATGAAACAAATAAATCTAATGATCTGAGGGTTTCCTGCGAGATTCAGTGTGTGTGTTGGGACAGAGACAGACAGGCTGGAAGCTGAAGAGAAACAGGAGCAAGGTGACAGAGGCTGACTCAGCCCAGAGAGTACACACACACACACACACACACACACACACACACACACACACCTCCCCCGCCAGCTCTTCTTACAGCCAACTCTTCCTCAGCAGGATGAGTGCAGTTAGATAGAGGGTACCCCTGAAGCCCACTCACACATCATTCAGCCTACAAGTGAGGCGGCACCTTGAAGACACCCAAGAACAGTCGTTAAAAACTCATGAGCAGTTCAGGTGCTTCATCCTGGGAACAAGACAGATAAATGACACCTGCTCTGAGAATAAATTAGTGCTGGCATCCGTGTGAAGCACACTCTATAAACCCTTATTGCTTAAATATTCCGATTTTACATGTTCTAGTATAGTGAGCCATAGAAGATTACGGTCCTTTAACTTTAATTTCATTTGCGCAAAACATACAATGGCTCTCATCTCACCTTGATACACAAGATCTAATTCTGCAGGCAAACATATTACTACATGATCACCTATTATGCGGAGGAAAGTGATGAGTTCCCCACACACAGTCACTTCCTCAGGCATCCATCGGCTGTTGTGCTGCAGTAATAAAGACTAAAAGCCTTGTTGAACAGTCAGTGACCCTGCTCATTGCTGCTTGAAGCTCCGGTTTGCTCAATTAATCTTGTTCCAGTGTTTAATGAGACTCTTCAGTTAAAAATTGAAATGGAGAAGATGATCATTCTTGGTTATAGTTGTTAATAAGAAGCTGCATCTTTTTCACCATTTAATTATGCCTTCTTCATTTATTATTTATTTATTTATTTATTCAATGTTTGCTGAGTCATACTGTCAATGCATTTAATTTTGAACGTTATGACTCTGGAAGCTTTCATTCAGTGTGTCAGTTTCCTGTGGGAATTCTTTGTGTAAAAAACTGTGTTTTGCTTCCAACATGCCAAATAATTTAATACCACTTAACCTTTATTTCTATTCAGTTTCATTTTGTGCTGTCGCAAAATCCGAACTGCAGACACTAAAGTAACAAGATCATTTTGCTGGAGGTGCTTTGAAGCAGAGGTGGGGGACTTGAGTCACATGACTTGACTCAAGTCACAAATTTTCGGACTTGAGACTTGCTTGACCCACACTGGTAAAAGAATCAGCTTGACTTTGACTTTCTATTCATGGCTTGAGACAAATGACTCGAAAGGACTTGACTTTTTTTTTTTAATTAAACATTTGCATTTTTCTAGGTATTTTTTTTAGATAAGTCACATTTTGTTTTTGAGACATGATTGGGTGATTTCTAGTGCGATGCCCACAAACCAACTGTCATGGAGAAGGGCTAGTTCATAAATACTTAATTTTGGACTGCACTAGGAAAGAAAAGTTATATTGGCACAATGCAAGTTCAACAGATTCTACAGATGTATTGTAATAGTAGTAACTAGAATCACACTCAGTAGAGTGCATACCTCCACCAAGGCCAAGCAATCCTACACATCACAAAGTGATTTAACTGGATCTGTACCAAAATTTTATGGGTTCATCCCTGCTCCATATGGGGCATCTCTCCACTAAGTTTGGTGCCAATCAGTTCAGTTGTTCTTGCTGACAAATAAACAAACATGGTTGAAAACTTGGCGAAAGTAATAATAAAAGACTAAAACTAATAATTTTAGCAGTGGATGGCTAGCAGTGACAGATACAGACTCTACATTGCCTCAAAATATCAAATATCAGTAAGATTTAAAGGTGAAGGTAGTTTTCATTAATGCGAAAAAATAAAATTAACTTTTTAACTGATTTAAAAGTGGAAACTGGGGTTGATCATTAGAATTTCATATAACTTGACTTGTGACCTTTTTTTTTGACCTGAGCAATGACTCGACTTGTCTTGTTTGACATATAGCAGGGACTTGACTCCCTTGATTCTCACCACAGTAACTTGGGACTTGCTTGAGACTTGAAGGTTAAGACCTGAGACTTTGCTTGTGACTTGCACATGTGACTTGCTCTCACCTCTACATTGAAGTGAAGATTTGTTTCTGTTATGTAAAATTTATCCTCAAATTAATTTAGTTTGGTAGCTACTCCTTGTATCTGGACAAATGAAAACTGGCATGGAAGGCAGCATTGTCAGTACTAATCCCTCAGATGAATGCCAGGGGTCACAGGATCACTTGTGCAAGATTCTCAAAACTCACTGAAACTCTTTCTTTGCTTTTCTCTTTCTCTCTGTTGCTGTCGTGATCTCAGTCACTTGGCTCGCGCCGACAGGTAGCTTCTTTTTATATCTTTTATGTTCTTACACCATTTCTTTTGGCTGGTTTTTTTTTCCATATACTACAAGCTTGTATTTGTGATTTATATTTGTTTTTCACAAAGAAAATTCTTCTCCTGAAAAAAGGTCTTATGTGAAGGTACTGATTGATTTCCTGAAGCAAAGCAAAATGCTAAAGGACTGCTGTGAATAAAATGACACAGAAAACCCTGTTGTATATGAATTAGGCAGAAAAAAGACATTCATTTCATGCCTTCGTAGTCACAGAACTCCTACGTCTTCTGTTATGTAAGGAGTTTCACATATGAAATGCTAACTAATGCCTATTTTGCTGAGGCTTATGTAACTTGCATGTCCGTTTCTCTCAGAGCTGAAGGCCGGAGATGGTCCCTGGCATCCCTCCCCTCATCTGGCTATGGCACCAATCCGCCGAGCTCCACTGTCTCAGTAAGTCACCCCACCACCACCACCACCACCACCACCACCACCCTGGTAGAGAAGTGGCGGCCAGGCAATTCTAACACCTCACTCAGCCCAAATAGCACATTCGTTTATGCAATAAGGGACAGCGAATGCCAAGACCGAGATGACAAACCACTAATTGTTTTCCTCCATCATCTGCTTGAATGAGTCATTCTCCCAGTCTGTGGAACTCAGTATTAGAAGTAATACACACAGTCTGTGTGTATGCATGTTAATGAAGAGATTAAGCTAAGAGCGTGTGCGCTGTGTGTTAGTTATTAGATTAAATACTTCAAGTGGCATTATTTTATGACAGCATTTCAACAAAGCATCACAACATCACACATTTGTCATATTAACAATGTGCTGAGATCTTGTTTTTTTTTTGTTTTTTTTTTTCATTTTTTATTAACATCACAGGTGGTAATTATGTTAACTTGGCCTACAATGTGATGTGTTTTTGTTTGGTGTTTGAAAAGCTGACAGATTGCTATACCCACATTTTGGGAGGGAACATGTCAGAATATACAAGGTATAAATGTCAAATACTTTTATTTCAAAATCATTTTAAAGGAGGTTTTGAGAATATTATTATAGTATACATAGTATAAATCTGTAATTGCATTTGTTTACAGAATGATATCGGTACACAGCATTCTAATGAACAGTTTTGCAATGGGACAGCGGGTGGTGCTGAGTTTGTGATGAAAGTCTGCCATGTGGAGCTATTGTAAAGAAATTTATTGGTTAGAGCTCGGGGAAGGCCCAGAGGTCAGTGGGGACAATAGGGCTCTTCAGTGGGCTCTCACTGCCCTCTTCATACTGAGCCATTAGAAAGAGACTTCACAGATGTTGTTCCTCTGGCCGTCTTCTTTTCAGGACACATGGGCCGTAAAATTAAACAGCGCCGGCAACGTACACCACGTCCCGTTCAGTTTGAAAAGAGTTCACTCAGCGCCTCAGTAGATATGGAAAATAGCTTATTTGTGTAACTAATGATGCCTCTGTGGGCTTCATTATTGTTTACACCATCACCTGAAAAAATCCACTCTAATGATTAGCCTGAGAGGTCTTAAGTTCTCTTTGGACTACTACTCTAAACTCACCAACTAAACATGTGAAATCCTCCACAGGTGCATGATCAGTTGGTCGGGCTTATGTTGACTCCTCGTTGGCACAGACTACACTACGCTGCCGTCGTCATGAATTAGAAAGTAAATGTGAATATGTGAGTGGCCAGCTAAACGCTGGTTAAAACCATGTGGTGCAATGTGGAGTAATTGAGTATAAATAAATTGAAAAACTGACAGCTGCTTGATTTGATAGGCATCGGCTCAGATTTGACTCAGTGCAGGAGTAAAGCACAACTTTAATGCTTTTGTCCTTTTCTTACTGCTCTCTCTCAGCTTCAGACTTGCCTAACTTGTCTGAACACATGCTTGTGGTCTCTTAAACAGAGTGATGCCACTGAAAATTCAAGCCTGTAGCAATGTCCTCTGCGTGAAAGGAAGTAGCAGGGTTTACTGGGGCTGTAATCTTGAGTTAGACCAAGACACAATGCTACATATTTCAACTTTTAAGTCTTTCTTTGGTTTAACTTGGTCTAACTAATCATCAATTTGGGCAACTGAGGCTGGATTAGCTCTGCTGGTCTTTTGAATATGTGTTACACTGCAATATGTTTTGATCTCACTTTCATTTCTGTCTCTGCAAGGAGTTTTGAGTCTTTGTGATTTTAAGACCTGTATAAACAAATGTCTATCTTTCAAGATAGATACACAAAATTATTCAGTCATTAATTATTTGTCTTTTTGTGTTGATAAAATGACAAAATAAAATCATTTTTATTTTGGGTCATTTAATATAAAAAAGGCCCAATATAAGTATTGCAGTGTATCACTCAGTGTAATTATAAAAACAGTTTTCTGAGGTTGGCTGAAGAGCTGGTAAAAGTTTTGGCTAAATTACAGATAGATGTGAGGATTTGAATCTGGTGAATATGGAAACAGATATTCTCCACTGATGGATCCGTCTTTGTGTCTGCAGTCCTCCTCGTCCTCCCAGGAGCGTCTTCACCAGCTTCCCTACCAGCCGACACAAGATGAGCTGCACTTCCTTTTCAAACACTTCCGTAGCACAGACAGCATGACCGACGAGGATGGACGACCCTCGACTGTCATGCGACCTCGGTCTCGGAGCCTCAGGTACCTAATCCTGATTTCACATTGCATCCGAAAGTCTTGTTGGCAAATGATTGTTTTCTTCTAGAATTTTACATATTGATTATAGAAAAAAAGGTTGATCTGTGTAGCCAGTAATAATGTAGAAAGACATGGACTGCAGGTTATCATCCATGATAACAGTGTCACCTCGTTTTTAAGGCTTTGCATGTTTACAGAGCCTCATCAGCTGTAAATCAAATGTGACAGCGAACTTTAAATGTCCACCACAGATCCAGTTGGAATGCGAGAAAAGTGTTGGTGGATTACACTTGTGTTCACCACTTGTAATTTCCCATCAGACCACTTGTTTTACAACCCAATCTGAACCGAGTCCAAACATCTGTTTAATGGTGTTTCTTGGCCTGTCATTAAACTGATGAAATGAATATTTTATACAGATTAAATTCAGTAATCCTTCCTAAAGGATTAACTACCTCTTCGTCGGGGAAAACAACATTCTAGATTTGGACAGCGACTGCATGTGGTGCGCTGTTCATGACGTCCTTGGTGTCATTATGCACTGGTAGACTGTCAAATGTCAGGATGCCTGTACATCGGTATGACCAAGACAAATTCACAAGCAAACACAGCATTTGACATCTGAAGTGCCTCTGATTGATTACACATGCCTGTTGGCCGGCAGGCAGGTGGAGATCTGACTGCAGAGCTGTGTGGTTTTGACAACTTTTGTCTGTTGGCTCTGCTCTGCACTGTTTGTGCGATGCCGGAGTGCTCTGTGTTCTGGCACCATTGTGTGCTGTGTGTGGGCGTGCTAGCTAACAGAGCGCCTCAGGGATCTAGCTGCTGAACTGTAGTAGAGGGTGGTGGTGCTATATGGGGGGGTGGGGTGGTGGGGGGGTTGGTGGGGGGGGGGGTTGATGCAGAGATGCAGCAGTGTGTGTTGGCAGCAGCCATCCAGTCTAACAGAGGCGTCTTTCATGACAAAAAATGGCTTAGGGAGCCTGTTTGCATGTGATAGGTTTTCCCTCCATCTGTTCTGTTTGAAGCTTCATTAAGCAAGATTTATCTGTAAAAATACACTCGTCTCATTGGTCTTAACACTGGTGGTGTTGCAGTAAATGACTAATTGGGTGATGTTGGTGATTCACACATTTTGGCCAGAAGAAACCTCTGCTGTCTGCACAAAAAACATCTAAAAGAGAAACATCAAAACCTGTCAGTGAAATCCACCCTGACTGCAGCTCTAGCGGCTTAAGAGCTGCTGAAATCGAGTGTTGGCTCACAATATTGCTTTTGTTAGGTTGAGATCAAAAGTGTAAATATAGATATTGACCTCAAAAAACCTCCTTCAGTCAAACCCAAACTATGAACTGAGAGTTGATGTGTGTATGTTTTGTTGGGCTGGACTGAATCGATTGATGGTCATTTCTAGATAACTGTGACATAATCACTTTTCACATTCCATCCCAACTTAATGGCTCAGAGGAGAGTTGAATTGGATGAAGTATTGATAAATGTCAATATGCATCTGTTGATCAGTTAAAATATGCTAATCTGTTGTTTTGTTTCTGTCGCAGCCCCGGGCGTTCGAACGTTTCTTTCGATAACGAAATAGTCATGATGAACCATGTTTACAAAGAGCGTTTTCCAAAGGTATGTACTTGATATCTGTAAATTAGTTTTTCCATTGAGGCCATACAGTATATGAACAGCAAACACACTGTGCATAAAACCAGAATTTGGTTTTTAACCCACCTGAAAGCCAAAAACAGAATCTGGAGTGTCTCAAAACTCAGTAGAAATAAAACAGTATGGAACTGAAACTGAGCTTTAGTTTTGAACAGCAACCATCTCAGCAGGTGGCAAAGTAATTGCTGAATCACTGGTAATGATCAGCAACCATATGAATCCACCCACAGAAATATTATGGACATTTGGTGCTGTGGAGAGTAAAAAGTAAAAATCATAATAACTGATCTTTTAAATATCTTAACTGTGTGTGTGTGTGTGTGTGTGTACGTGTACTTGTGCTCCCTGTAGGCCACAGCCCAGATGGAGGAGCGCTTGTTGGAGATCGTCACCCACTGCTCTCCAGACAGCTCTCTCCCGCTGGCTGACGGGGTTCTGGGCTTCATCCAGCACCAGTTGGTCGAGCTGGTCAGAGACTGTCTGGACAAGTCCCAGAAAGGCCTTGTTACTTCCCGTTACTTTGCTGAGCTGCAGGAGAAGCTGGAGAAGCTGCTCCATGAGGTGGGGAAACAGCCAGAGGATTTGGGGTTGGGATCCTGCAGGGCTGATGTGGAAATTATTTTATAGTTGCAAAAACTTGAGCTTAATTGAATTGTATATAGCAGCTTTAACCATCAGCTGATGAGCTCCTTCATGTGAACTCTTTTAACTGGTCACTTGGATATGATGAAGTTATGAAAGGGGATTGATCGAGGCGGGGTCAAATGTGCAACCAGGCGCGTCACTCAATAACTGTCTGATAGCCAAAGGCACACACAATAGATCTGGTAGTGGAAATTGTTAGTGATGGTGTGAGGTACTTTTATCACAGGTCTTATCTGTATGGTGATAAAATGTTAGTTTCTATAGCAACCTCTTCCACTGTTCCTCTGCATGCTGTCAGACAGAAGGCATGGCCGACTCGCTGTACCTCCAGCTGAACTGATAAGTCTGTTCCCATACAGTGGAACAAATGCTGTCACACACACACAAGACTAGCTTTTTGTGCCAAGGCCACTTTGGTAAAAACTCTTGACAGTTTTTAGTAATAAATTGACATCTAACTTCTCTAAATGTGATTTGATGTGATGTTAATGACTCTCAGTTTGAAAAAGCTGTAACATTTTTTATTTTAAACACATATTGCCTGGTAGACTTGTGGAGGACTTGCCTTGGAATGATCCTCTGCTGTCCAGAAAGTGACAGATTTTGTGCATTTGGCAGCAAAAATTGAAAAAACTCTTGAGCATTGCTCCATGATCTTTGCTACAAGAGCAGCAGCTTTATAAGGAAAAACATTTTGACAAAGTGCACAAGCTTTTTATATGTTGGGCCCCCAGCGATTTTCTGAATTCATGTCACCTCAGGTGCTTTTCTTAGGTGTGTAAAAGCTCTTAGTACATTTCACTGTACTAAGTACTGTTTACCACTTGGGCTTGATGCTCAATCTGACTTGACACTAATTGAGCATGTGAGGATTCTGTGTTTATAAAAGTCCAGTAGGCCACATTGTCAATGGAGGAATCTGCCTTGTGACTTTCTAGTAACAAGACTATCTTTCTCACATTGCTACGTTTTAACAGTCATTGACGTGAAAGGTCTGACATGCCCAGAAGGTGAGAAGGTAACCCACATAGATGAGTTGAAAATGATTCTGTCCCTGGAGAAAATTGAAATTGAAGGAATAGTTTGATATTGTAGAGGTGCTGGTAGGCGGATTTTGTTACCATCGGCCTATACCAGGCTATCTGATCCCCTTTTCCATGCTAAGCTAACCGGTGCTGATTGTAGACTTATATGTACCAGACAGATGAGAGTAGTATCTTGTCATGGTCCATGCTGTACATGCAAATGACCTGGAGTGAAATGCATAGTATTCCACAGTTTCAGTTTCACTAGTACGGACTGTCACTCCCGTCGTCTAGAAGAAATGCCGTGGATGACTCATTTAGACTCCACACACCCACCCAGTGATTATTCTAATAATTCCTCTTGGTTTAACGTGTTGTTTTCTCTGACGCAGTTCTGTGAGGCAGCGTGTGTTTTCATATTTCTTTTAATGTCATACCCATCTGCTTTGAACACACTGTGTTTTATATACTTATATTTCCTGTTTCAGTATTAAGCAGTTCTTCTGCTAGAATCTTTTTCAGGGGTGGACGAAGTGCCACTACGGGCAGCAAAGCATGTCCCTCCTCCTTTTAATCAATTATTTCCAACTTAGACAACTTAGTAGAGCCAGACCTATTTATCGGTCAGCCGATATAATGGGCCGATATTGGCCTATCACAGACACATCGGCATCAGCGCATATGTTCTCCGATATGCGCTGATATGAATACTTTTATTAAGAAGATGCAGTGGACATGCTCGGGTCAAGTCAAGTTATATAGGCAGCATTTTATGTATATTTGATCCTTTGTTTTCATTCAAGTTAAATATATATTGATATCTGAATTTTTTTACTCCCTAACATCGGTATCGGCATCGCCCCCAAAAATCCAATAACAGTTGGGCTCTACAACTAAGCCCTGATATTTTCATAACTTAATAAAGATACACATACATGTATATTTGAAAACACACTTTAGACATCAAACTATTTTTATTTCCACTTTTCCATGATGCATGCATACCATCATTTATTCCATGTCTCAAAATGTGGTGTATTTACAATTTTAACCATTTTAGTTTAATATAGTTCTATTGCACTACAAAACTGAAGGGTATGCAAAATTTTACTTAGTTCCATATTTGGTGAGAAGTGTCAGGATATTTAACTTTTTCAACGTTACCTATTCCTATATGCTTGTTTTTTTTTGTTTTAAAGTATGATATGTTTTTCTTCAGCATTTTGATGATCCAGTATCGCATATACTGTATAATCTTTGCCTTTACTTATATTTTGATTCTGCTCCCCTGCTGTTTTGCAGGCCTACGAGCGCTCTGAAAGCGAGGAAGTAACTGTCATCACCCAGCTGGTGAGGAAGATCCTCATCATAATCTCTCGGCCGGCTCGCCTCCTTGAGTGTTTGGTAAGCTGAGGAAGAGAAAATCTCTTCCTAATTGAAAATGAGATTACTTTGAAACGGACAGAAGTAAGTTCACGGTAAAGCAAGGCTGAAATGAGATTCTGGCCTTTATTCTCTCAGGAAATGCATGTGTGTCACCAGAACATGACGTAGATGAAGGAAGGAAATATTCCCAAACTTTCACTATGCCTCCCCTTCAGTAGAGAGACAACAATTAAGACTGTTGTTGTCAGTGAGGTCTATGATTATCCTGAGTAATTGGGACACTGTCTCTGCAAAAACATATTGTTGAGATTTTAAATGTATTTTTTTTTTCTTTAAGACTACAGTTACCTTTGACTTGATACAGATTAAACACTTGCCTTTGCTGTTTCCTGCTCTGAGATCAGTCTGTCAGGATGTTGGCTTCAGCCAGTTCACATTAATGAGACTTGGATGCTGTTGACAGGAGTTTGATCCAGAAGAGTTTTATCACTTACTCGAGGCAGCAGAGGGTCACGCCAAAGTCGGCCAGGGAATCAAGACAGACATCCCGCGGTACATCATCAGCCAGCTTGGTCTGACGAGGGACCTGTTGGAAGGTAAACGGACCCTGTGCCATGAATCAAAGCCTTATGTGTTATTCACAATGAAACCCAAGTGTTCCAGTCCCCTCACATGTGGCTCAGATTTGACGTTTTTTTTTACTTGTAATCATTCTGAACAGGAGAAAAACTTCATCAGTCATTTATTTTACCATTGTGGACGTCATGGCTGTGTGGTATAAAACTGAATCAACAGGCTTTCAACATACTTGCAGCTTGTAATGAAACACTCAAACGACCGTTTGCTAGTATTGCCATGGCAATAAGAAAATCATAGATCTTTTGCTTGAGATAATTACAGCTCTGGTATGTTGAAGCTTGGATGACAGTGTCAGCATAGAGGACAGTGTGATTCAACAGTGGAAACAAAGCCAAGTTGTTATGTGTGTGTTTTTTTCCCAGACATAACCATAAGCCCAAACTGTAACAGAAATGTGTTTTAACCAGCTGGTTATATCTTTTATTATGGTCACTGTGTGCATGTCATTTCATATTGGATTTGGCTTGCATCCTAGAACAAACACATATGAACCATCATAAAAAAAAAAGAAAAGAAAAAAAAAACTGTAAGAGTTCACAATGAGGAAAGAAATTTTACACTGAGGATGTAGCTTGAAATTCAGGTTCAGACAGTCAGTACAAGAGCTTTATGAATTTCATAAAAGTTTCACTGCCACATAACCAGGCTGTAGGAACTGGTTTTTATACAGCTGAACCACATTTACATTCACATGACAACCCTCGGATGAAGAACAATACGGTTTGAATATAGATTAACAGAGATTGAGGAGGACGAGTTGATGATGGAAGTGGAAGATTCTTTGTCATAATATTAAACTCTGTTCGTCTCTTATTTCCAGACATGGTACAGCTCGAACAGTACGATGCCGGTCCTTCAGTGTCAGTCGAACCAGAGGCCAACGTGGAGGTAATTTTCAAAGTTTTTATTTTTGATTGTGTCTTTTAAAAGAAAAGATGTTCTTAAACAAATGTGTCACTTCTGTATTTAAAATTGTGTTTGAGCCATCTCTGACTGTTACCAAAATTCACTTCATGCCAGTATGCTTTCATTTCACTTAATGTGACAGACTGCTTAACAGGCCTCGAAGCATTGATTACACTGTAATAATCCTAGTGATTAATGTTTCTAGTGTGTTTCCTTCCTGACTTGCCCATAAACAGCCACTGGCATCATGTGTCTGCTTCCTCTCTGTAGAATAAGGCCCCACAGACGCTGACGCCAACTCGAAGGAAACCTCTTGAAAGTGATTTTGAGACCATCAAGCTCATCAGTAATGGAGCTTACGGGTAAGAAGAATGGTCCATTGTTTTAGCTTTCATTATGTTTTCTTAGACTTCTTTATTTGTTTTCCAAAAGATTTGTTGCAAACTTTGTTGAGTGCAAAAATGTCATCCTCTCTAGCTGTAATGGTGGCTGTAGTTTGATCATGACACATCAAAGGCAACTTGCATGCAGAGACGTCTTATCTTTGCACTCATGAGTTGAATTAGAATAAGGCAGAGGGAAACTCAAATCTAGTGTGAAAACCACCGAATTGTGTTTTCATTGAGAATATCCCCTTAAGGATAACAGGTCTAATGTGGTTTTTGACAGGGCTGTGCATCTGGTCCGCCACAAGGAGACTCGCCAACGGTTTGCCATGAAAAAGATAAATCGCCAGAACCTGGTCCTGAGGAACCAGATCCAGCAGGCGTTCGTGGAGCGGGACATCCTAACCTTTGCTGAGAACCCATTTGTTGTCTCCATGTTCTGCTCCTTTGAGACACGACGTCACCTCTGCATGGTCATGGAGTATGTAGAAGGTAAAGTCAAAAGAGGCAGCTATGACTGACTCTAAAGAAGAGGGGTTTATTTTGAGTGCTAATGTTGAACTGCCATGAATCGCTTGATTGTTTATATTTCAAATTTGCAGTCCCCATATAATACACAACAAATAGTTTGTGTTGCTCACACAGTCATTTGACCACAGCCACTTGATAAACACTATTATGGGAAATGGTAAATAAAAATGTGTGTAGCGCCTATGGTTTTAATGTTTTCTGTTTCTCTTCTTTGTTAAGGCGGTGATTGCGCAAACTTGCTCAAGAACATGGGTCCACTGCCTGTGGAAATGACAAGGATGTACTTTGCTGAAACAGTCCTGGCCCTGGAGTACCTTCACAACTATGGCATTGTGCATCGTGATCTCAAACCTGACAAGTGAGAACACAAACCTCCCACTTCACTCCTGTTTTAAGATTTTTGAATTTCTTCTGGAAATGCACTAAGTATGACGAAGCTCTGCATCTGTGCTTTCGCTTTTCATCAGGATTCATTAAATTAAACGTCATTAAATTACTCAACAGACATGGTCTGGTCTCTGATGATGCATAGATTTGTCCCAGTTTTTTTTTTTTTTTTTTTTTTTTTTCAATCCTCCTCGTCCTTTTCTTTTTCAGTCTGGCTACTTGTATTTGCTTGCAGAATTTGGTTAAAGTATCGACCATTCAAAAGTCAAATGCACTTGGAGAAAACCTGCTTATCTTAATTAACTTTTTTTTTTTTTTTTGTGTCTACCCAACAGTTTATTAATAACATCCATGGGCCACATCAAGTTGACGGACTTTGGCTTGTCTAAAATCGGCTTGATGAACATGACCACCAACCTGTACGAGGGTCACATGGAGAAGGACACAAGAGAGTTTGTTGACAAACAGGTGAGACTGTTTCAGATGTAAGAGACAAAACATCTGTATGCATGGAAGACAAATAACACTAATTAGTGACAGATGTGATTATGGAAGCAGCTGTTTGTTTGTTTCCCCTTACTCACCTGTGTTGGTTTGCACGTGCAGGTGTGTGGCACTCCAGAGTACATCGCCCCAGAGGTGATCCTCAGGCAGGGCTACGGAAAGCCTGTGGACTGGTGGGCGATGGGGATCATCCTCTATGAGTTCCTGGTCGGCTGTGTCCCGTTCTTTGGAGACACTCCTGAAGAGCTTTTTGGCCAAGTTGTCAGTGGTGAGTGATGACATGACAGAGAAGCCATTAAAAGAAAGAGATGCAGCTGGTTTTTAAAAACTCTAGTAAATAGTGGTGAGAATTAATTTTCAACTTGGTATCGATGGCAAGTATTGGCTCTCGTAGAAACCAGGAGCACAAATTGACATAAAAATTTTCCCGTTAGGAAACAGAATAAACTTTACAAAATATTACTGCTTCTTATAGTATAATAGCAAAAGATATTTACTTAATCTCATCCACATGCAAATGTTTGATATGTTTAAAGAAAAGACCAGCATATAAATTCAAAGAAATGAATTAGTGCCAGCAAGATTGTATAAGGATTTCCAAACCCTGCCTGCTGCAATGCCAAGCAGTATGCTGAGATGTGCTTTTTTAATCACCTTTCTATGACTGTATAATAGTGTAGAGGCTATGTTATTGTGAAAAACTGCTCTGACATGTGATCAGCTGACTGGCCTGTACTTCTGTGGTTTGCAGATGAAATAATTTGGCCTGAAGGAGACGATGCTTTACCTGCTGATGCCCAAGATGTGATCACCCGCCTGCTGAGACAGAGTCCCCTAGACCGACTGGGAACTGGTACTGCTGAGTTTACTACAGATCAACTTCTATTAAACTTTATAAAGTACTCATAGAAGAGAACAATTTAAAAACGACGCAAGTTGAATAAAAATTAGAAGTAATGATATTTGATGAAGTAAAGTGGAGACAAATGGTAAACATCTATCAGAAGACATTTTTAAAAATCCACTTCACTGAACTTGATCCAGTGTTTAACTGGCTGCGAAAACTGTGTGGTTGTAGGCGGAGCCTCAGAGGTCAAACAGCACCCTTTCTTCCTGGGTTTGGACTGGAATGGACTCCTGCGGCAGAAAGCTGAATTCATCCCTCAGCTGGACGCAGAGGACGACACCAGCTACTTCGACAGTAGGTCACAGTTGAGAGTATATACAATGTCACATCCTGACTTCAGGCTCAAAGAGCAGGTTTTCTCTGGCATTCACAACACATACAGCACAAATCAAAGCGCGGCATTTCTGGTGGCTGTTAAAAACAGGACCTCTCACGATATAAGACGTCTGCTGTTTGATATTATTGATGTACAATGACTGACAAAGAAAACCACTACAGACTGGGTTCTCTGTAGTTCTTTCAAAATAGAAACCTTTTTGTGTGAATTTCTATGAAAATTGGAGTGTCATTTTCTGTTTCTGTCTTCAGCTCGATCAGAACGCTATCATCATATGGCGTCTGACGAGGATGAGGAAACCAATGATGAAGAGTCTTCCTTGGAAATCAGACAGTTTGCTTCCTGGTCGCATCGCTTCAGCAAGGTAAAGACTGCACCTGTTGGAAGACAAGAACTTTGGAGGTTGAAAAAGTCCAAATGGGTACAAAAGAAGCTTCAGCATTAATTCTATGGATATTTACAATGTTTATTTAAATATTCCAATATTCATATTTAAAAGAAATATGCTATGACAGACTTGGGTAAAATGTGACAATTATCAGGCCATCCCTCTGTGTTATGCATCATTTATAAGTGTTAGTCATCAAAAAGGCTCAGTGTGTGGAAAAAATCCATGTAAAATGAATCAGTGTAGAAGATGAAATCATCAAGTGAAATCAAATGACTTGTGATAACAAATTTGAATGGAGGACAAGCATGAAATAATGCATGATCTCTATTTCACAATCTCAGGTTTACAGCAGCACAGAACATCTGGCGACACCTTCCAACCTGAGTTTCTCCTCCGACCGCAGCCACAGTGAGGACAAAGAGGACCGCGGGGACATGGGAGGACTCAGTCTCTCCCCAAGCCCAGCAGAGGGCAGTGTGGAGCGCAGACACGCTGGACGCATGGCCAGGTTGGCACAAGTCTAAAATATATCATATTGTATGTCATAACCGCCTGTTATTCCACTTTTCTTCTTTTCTTTAGTTCTTCTAGTTCACATTAAAGTTTTTTTGTTGATTTTTTTTTTTCTTACTCAGCACTTTTGTTGCTAGGTTACCTATGAAATGCTGCCAAAATCTTGAAGAAATTATTGGATCATGAGCCCTTGGAACTTTCCCTCGTTATCTGTTTGAAAGCAGCAAGCTGTCAAAACACAGTGCTGCTGTGATCACAGTTGATTTACTTTTCCAACTGGTCTTTGTCTGTTTGAAGCCTTCGCCCTCGGGCCTCCTCCAGCTCCTCCCAGTCTGAGAGGAGCACCAGCCCTCTGGTGATGAGCAGCACCCACAGCCTGGAGACGATGCCCCGTTTTGCCCTCTCCACTGATGATGAAGGTAAATCCAGACTGCCAGGATTTTTATGCCAGCCAGGTCCGGATGGCATTATGTTCGCGGGTTGTCTGTCCGCCTTATCTCAGTAACACCTTGAGGGAATTTCTTCAAATTGGGCACAAACATTCACTTGGACTCAAAGCTGAACTGATTACAATTTGGTGGTCAAAGGTCACTGTGACTCATGAACTCATACGCTAATTATGACACAGTTATACACAAAGGTCTAAAGGGATAAAATGATCAAGTGATGGCATTTTATATCCGAATGGTCAAAGGTCAATTTCACTGTGACATCATAATGTTCATACTACATATTAGAGCCATGAACAGTGAGCATGTTTACATGTTGTTCATTTTTTAACCTGTGTTACCTGCAGCTGAGGTGGCTGTGTCAAACCTTCGGAGGATCAGGATTCGCAGCAACAGCACCGGGGCCAAGCATTCATCCCCCAAGGAACCGGCCGGCCCACGACGCTTCGGTAACCAGCTGGAGACACCGGACAGACAGAGGCTTCCCTGCGGAGGGAAGGTTCCCAAGTCAGCCTCCGTCTCAGCCCTGTCTCTCATCATCACTACAGGTACAGGAGGTTATCATCACCAGTTTCAAGTCCAAGTCACTTGACGAAGGGAAACTGCTTTCAAATGAAATAAAATAAGACCATGTCTTTTCATACATGAACAAAAATTTGTAAATGTTACTATATTTATTTACATCTAGAATATAAAAGTTGAGCTTATGAAACTGTTTTTGTGTAACTGTATGTGAATATATCAAATTTATATGGTCAGAAAAAGGAACCACAGCAGTCCTGTGTTTGTTGTAGATGACTCGCCTGGTGGCCTCCAGCCCAGTCCCATTTCCCCACGCTCGCTGTCCTCCAACCCCTCATCTCGTGACTCCTCGCCCAGCAGGGACCTGTCCCTCTGCTCTGGCAGCCTGAGGCCGCCCATCATCATCCACACCTCAGGGAAGAAGTTCGGCTTCACTCTGCAGGCCATCCGCGTCTACATGGGCGACAGCGACGTCTACACAGTGCATCACATGGTGTCGGTGGGTGCGACCACAAGATCTAAATCCTATTTGTGTTACAAGACACACAGCTATAACTAGTCCTTGTTTGTTTTCAATGTCATGTGTTTTATTCTGATGATACTAAACCAGAAAGTATAAAAAGGTGGTTATGTAATGCTCAAATACAACTCCTCTCACACCCTGTGTTGCTGTTTTAACAGAGTGTGGAGGAGGGCAGCCCGGCGCACCAGGCAGGTCTCCGCACTGGAGACCTCATCACCCACATGAACGGAGAGTCTGTCCAAGGCCTGGTCCACCCTGAAATGATAGAACTGCTACTGAAGGTACAGCAACTTACTGTAGCAGTTTGTCACTTTGAAATTTTGTGTAATTTGCATTCTTTTTCCTTGGCTCATATGAATCATTATTTCATTCCTTTGAAATGTGCAGAGCGGCAGCAAGGTGGCGCTTCAGACCATAGCACTTGAGAACACGTCAATCAAAGTTGGTCCAGCTCGAAAGACCAAACACAAAGGCAAAATGGCTCGTCGCAGCAAGAAGAGCAAGAGGAGAGATAATTACGACAGGTGAGAATCTAAGGATTTGTTTCCTCTCACTCTCTGCAGCTCTGCAGTGTTACTCATCTCTTGTTTACTCTCTGTATGAGGTTGGAAACTGGTGAACTTCAGAAAAACTACCTTTCAAAACTGAGTCCTTTGTCTCCCTCTAGTGTTACACACTGTAAAGTGTAGTGTAGTAGCAACTTAGTACTACCTTGATTACATTCTCTGCATCATATGTTTTGTTGCAACAGTGAATATTTAACATCAACATTTATGTCAGTGCAGCTCTATGTACTGTTGTGTTTTCAAAATGTATATATTTTTGCTGTTATTAATAATGTACATTGATGTTGTGATATCAACTAGATTCACAACAGCCTAAACACATAACAGGGCTGTTAGAACACACAGAATATCACATCAACTCTGGGTCAGTGCCATTGTTTAACCCACTCAACTGCACAGGATCAAATATCTGACTCTTGCTTTTCGTCCACTCCAGGCGACGAAGCATCTTGAAGAAGCTGTCCAAGCAGAGCACAGTGATGCACAGCAGCCGCAGCTTCTCTTCAGGTCTCCATCACTCGGTTTCCTCCAGCGAGAGTCTCCCAGGCTCCCCGACGCACAGCCTCTCGCCCGGCCCCTCCACACCCTGCCGGAGCCCTGCACCCGACCATCAGGCCTTTGGTGAGTTGGCTTCAGGGTTATTGATGTGGAAAGTAAATGGATCTTGTGGTTAAAAACTTATCCGAGTCAGTAGAGGCTTTGCAATTGTACTACGAATCTTGGAACATCCAAAGATCATGCTACTGTTATCATATTGTATAGCGCTGATTGATTTGCACATAATGGTAAAATATTGTGCAACTTATGATGTGCAGTATTTAAAAAAGTTTTTAATTCTTTCCAGAAAATAACTCTCCCCAGAGCACGTCTCCATGCTCCAGCTCTCCCAGTTCTCCTGCCGCCCACATCCGGCCGAGCTCGCTCCACGGCCTGGGATCCAAACTCAGCACACAGCGCTACAACAAGGTGGGCCGCCGGAAGTCAACCAGCAACATCCCTCCCTCGCCTTTGGCCTGCAACTCATCCTCCACCCAGCCCCTCTCTCCACAGCGCTCTCCCTCCCCACTGCCTGGCTTCGCTAAAAGCCTTCACACTTATCATGGCAAAACCCTGTCACCACCCACCATTGTTAGACACATTGTCCGTCCCCGCAGCGCTGAGCCACCCCGATCTCCTCTTCTGAAGAGGGTGCAGTCAGCTGAGAAGCTGTCTGGGGTGTATCATGCAGATAAGAAGTCGTACGCCCCACGCAGGCACACACTGGAAGTGCCGTTTTATGGTGAGGGTGATCTACTTGGTGACTCTGAGGCTGAGGGCGCCTGTGGAGGCTCCTACATCGGGGTTGATCACAGCAGGTTGGTGGGCTACATCAGCAGCCAGAGGATGAGGGACCCTGGGATTGAACGATCTGAGCAGCTGGTCGTGATGAGAAAGCTCAACCTGTCAGAGCGGCGAGACTCCTTTAAGAAGCAGGAGGCCGTGCAGGAGGTGAGTTTTGACGAGCCGGAGGAGAAAACCAGCACCACGGTTACAGTTACCACCACAGCAGCTGGAGCCCAAACACAACCTCAGCAGCTGCAGCAGCACAGGACGGCCTGGATGGTCACTGGACCCCAAACAAGCGAGGAGGTGGAGCTGGAAGTGCCGGTGGTGAGGAGGTTCACTCTGGTGCCCCAGATCGCTGTGCAGGGCTCAACGGAGAGCGAGGAGCAGGACGAGTGGGAGCCATGTTCAGACAGCGAGGAAACAACAGACAAACCTGAGCTCGACATCGGTGTCACTTCATCTCAGCAGGAACGGGCAGGATGTCCCCTCACTGACAACAGCTGCAGTCAGGCAGCAGAAACCACTTCCGCTGTCCCTCGAATTGGACCATCAACAGAGTGCAGAGAGGAAACTCCACAAAAAGGGAATCTGAGAAAGTGACAGTTCACCACTGCACTTGTTTCAACTGCTCATTTCTTTTCTTTCAAGTCTTTCAAGTGTAACTCTGAGGGAGAACTCCCAGGTGTTTTTTAGTCTAAGCCAGACGAACTGGAAGCTGGAAACTCATTTACTTACCTGTCTGGTTTAAAGAGAGTGGGAGAAGATTTTACTTGAATTTCTTTTTTTTTTTTTATTGTTAATACTTGCCTCAAGGATTTGCAGGAGTTCTGGTCGTATTTATTACATTTGTAAACTATGATGAGTTAATAACAGGTAAAGAGGGAAGTTGTCATTGGTTGAGTAGCCAAAGCTCAACATTTTTGTATTCATGAAATGTGGTTTTATGTCTTTTGACTGGATTTTTTTTCTATAAATGTCTATTTTTTAAATAAACCGTTGTGGTACACATTAGTCTGATAATGCTGGGCATAACTGTTGCAGGACCAAAAGGTACGAGAAGTCATTTTTAGAAACTTTTTTTTTTTCCCTCAGTGTCTGTTTAAATTTGAACAGTGCAGCTTTCAGTAGTGCAATACTGCTACAGTATAATCTTGATGTCCACAAAACTAAGAATGAACTTCAGTTAACACTATGAGCAACATGTGTCATTATCTACAGCACACAACTGCAATTTGCATGCTCTGCATAGATTTTGTGCTACTTTTCTTCAACCTACCATCGCACTACATCCTTCAGAACAAGGGTTAACACAAAAGCTACTAGGCACAAATTAGGCTGCAGTAAAAAAAAAATATATATATATATTCAAGCTTGAAAATTGTACAAAACTGGGAAGCTTTGCACAGCCTGAATTCTTCCATTCTGCACTTGTCACACAGATCAGTTGTCCACATAACATCATATTTGTAGGGAGAAAGAAGTGCTAAGTTATGGTTGTCTAACAGAAGACGTTTCTCTTGACAACCTCATCAGCTTTGTAAGAAATAAAAGTACTCCCTCTGACTCGTTCGTCATGTCCGCAGCACTGTTTTTCATAAATGTGGAACCAGTCAGTGCAGGGTTATATCGCATACCACCTGGGTGCGACTTTAAAGCGCGGGCTGTTTTTGCAGACATTTTGAAGCCGACTCAAGAAGGATGTTATGTGCCATGACATTTGTGCAGTGTCCTCTAAGCCATATCTTTGAAAAGAGAAATGTCCATTTAAATCATTTGTGTTGCTTGTAATTTCAACCCAACATGAAGACTTTTCTAGGAATCTTGTTTGTTCCTGCTAGGTGTCACAGTTTCAACAACATCTCCTGAAAAATGAAGTTCAGTACTAAGCTCTGGATGTTGTACACAAATGTTTGTGGCTACTTGATGTAAAGTTAATGTAATCCCGTGTCACAGACGTATGACAAATAGTTATTCCTGCTCACTGCTCATCTGTGAACACAGATACAGCATGACTCTGCATCTTGCTGTGATAACTTGTTCTACTCAAAGCATGCATCTTGCAGGAAAAAAACACTGAGCAGCCAAACTCCATCTTCACAGCCTGGAGGGAATCACAGGAACATGTTTTTGTTTGTGAAAAACATTTTGATATTTATTTTTTGAACTCGCGTAAAGCGACTACATATTTTGAACCTGGAAAGTGTTGCACCCTCGTGTATTTTTGGAGTATTTTTTTTCCTCAAACTGTTGTGTTAGTCTTTGTTTTTTCTCATGAGCATGTGAGAGACACCATGCCTAAAATGACCTGTCCCTACTCAATTTACTGTGTAGTGATGTTTACATTGGGGAGAAGTGCACTAATGTATTTTGACATAGCTTTTGTAACTGAATGTTGAAGAGGGACACATCTACAATGAATCCAAACCCAGGGCTTCTTTGAACAAATGTTTTATGTGTTTGTATTGTAGAAATATTGCTGTATATTTTGATAACAAGTTTGTGTGTAATTCCAGATGTGTTGAAGGACAAGATTATGCACAATGACAATGATAATTTCTGGCACCAGGATTTTTAAATCTGACTTGAGGTAATGGGCTCTTTTTACCAAAACACCGGGCTGTAGGTGCGTCACATTTTTCCACTACAGAAATGGAGTTTAAGGTTGATTGTCTTATTTGTCAGTGGCTGTTGCTAGCCGACTTTCTCTTGGGTCTTCTGTTTATATAGCATCAGATTTGTTGATGTGTCTCTTATGACCCTCTTCCTCAAAATAGTCTTTGAATCTCGTGATGACGACCTCACAAGGTCCTGTCATTGTGTGAGCGAACAGCACGGACAGATCCCTGAATGGTTCAGTTATTTTTGCAGTCTGACAGAATTGTTTACAATGAACAAACATGCTATGTACTGTACAAACATTTTATATCCTGTGTCTGTATATGATGAAGCTACCCTCTTTGATACCATGGAAGAAGACTACACTGAAACTATTCTTGAGGATTAATTTAGCACCAACCTGAGAATCATTCAGCGAATTTACATGCACTTGAGTAACAGAGTTATCATCGGTTTTTTGAAATTACCTGGGTTCTTCTAGAGAAACTTACTGTATTTTCATGAATATGTAAATATGTAAACAGGTTTGTAATGTATTTTTTACATGTGCACATTTGAATGAGAAAGATGTCTTACAAGGAAATTAATGCTGAAGGAGGATGAATACAGAAATATCTTTAGCATTCATTTATCTAAAATAATTGGATACAAGTCAAGCAAACTAAAACCACATACTTAATACTATTTGTACAGTTCAAACTGGGACAAACTGTAATTAAAATGCTACATGGTTAAAGGATAAATCACTAAGACCAGTAGTAATATACCTGTATTACTTTTAAAATAATATTCCTGATTCATTCAGCTGCACGTGGACATCTTTTTTGCACTGTGTTCATACCTGATTTCCCTAAATAACCTGGTTTCTCTTGTGAATGTAAATGTAGCTGCTGCTGTGATCACTACTGGTTGAAAGTGTCATGTCACAGTAGTGAGAGGTGGAAGCTTCAACCACTGGAGGTCAGCTCAAGCAACACTCAGCTGGTGTTAAACTTAACTCTTTTTTTTCAAGGTCAGACTGCCGTACATGTGCATGTGTTCTCCTGTGGACTATTCTGTTCAGTGCATGCTGCATGACACAAGCACACAACTGTAATACTTGATTGCATGGTATACCGGCGTTGTCGCCCTGTACTGTGTTTTCTTGTGCAACAAATAAACTTTGTATTTCTCTTTGACTCTTCTTTAGTTGGGCTCCGCTGGTGTTTGACGTGTATGGATGTTAATAGTTAATATGCAGGCAGTAATGGGTTTGAGAAAGTGTATAAAATCGGTTATGATAAACAGTCGCACCTTTTTAGACTTCTGTCATCTCACACTTTTTACTTTGTATGCAGTCATCTGACAAGTTTGGTTGCTAACGCAGAGACATTGCTATAAACATATGTAGTTTAGTTAACAGCAACATTAAGATTACAGTAATCATGGTACAGACTACAGGGAAAAAAAACGACATTTTGACAGCAGGTTGCTTTAACAACACACTGACATCTGTATTAATTAGTGTCTCAGCATGTGTGACTTCTTACTGATATTATTTGGCCTTGATCTTAATGAGTCTTCCTGAATAAATGAAGCTTAATTAATTAACTGTATATTGTTCACTTTGGCATATGCTGTAAAATAGCACTGATTTGAAAAAAACAAGAGCAACTGTTTAAAAAAAAGATTTTTCTGCATAATATATATATATATTGTTCATTTGAAGTGAAAAGAAGTAAATACAACCCCTGAAACAAACAAACATTAAAGAGGAGCCTTTTTTTCAAATGATGACAAGTTTTTTTCTCCAAACACACCTCTGGTGATTGCGGCCAAAGAATTAGATTTTAATTCAATCTGTCCACAGCACTTGTCTCAAGAATGACTCCTAAGAAGCCCATGAGTGTTGAGTGTTACTACAAGGTCCTCAGCTGATAGTTCCTAATGATAATTCTTGACCTGCCTTAAGTCCCAATGAGTCCATTCAGGCTTTATTAGTTGATTAAGTTCTCAGTGTTTTACAAGTACAACATTTGCACATGCCACAATTATTGTTGTATTTTCTTAAATTCATGAAATAAATAGTAACAATGCATTAAGGTTTGAAGAGTTTTTGGATATCTGTTTGCTGCAGAGGTTGTTTTCACTTCTTTTCACTTCCAAAATAAACAAAGCATATAATTTACCCAGGCCTACCAAAACTCTTGTATACAACTGTATTGCTTTACTGTACTGCAAAGGGGGTAAATTTCCTGCTTACTCATTCACTTTATATTTCACAAACAGCTGTAGAGGTGCTGCTTTATGTCAGGATGAAATGCTGCAGTTTCCTCCCAGGCCTCCAGGAGTCAGTAACGTGCTGAGATACGTCACTCCACATCAGAGAAGAAGCTCGGTGTCCTTCACAACAGCCAACATGGCGACTGCTACCAAACTCATCCAGAGGCTGCGCAATTTTTTAGCAGGGGTAAGCAATAAAACCGCGGACAGAATTTAAACAGGAGCCAGGACCTACTGATAAATACAACATGTTTATCTCGGGATGAAACTTTCGAACAGGACTAATTTAACGGGCAGAAATTGCCAGTGTTAGTTAGCATGTAAGAGCTAGCCATCCGGGCTAGCTGCACGGTTGAGAGCAACGTACTGTTCATGTCATTAGTCTGTTTTGATGATTAAATCACTGGTTGGTTTCTTTTTCAGCGAGACCTGCAAACCAAACTTCAGCTGCGATATGAGGAGGTTGCCAAGAGGTGAGACTGCAACCATTAGTTACCCTCTGAGAACAGTTTTATTATTTATGTGTAAACGTAGAACTTAATAAAGATACGTAAATGACAGTTAATCAGGAGTTGTATTTAAAACAGCAGCTGTACTGTCTCATGTCAGTGTCTTGTAGAAAAACATTCTGCTGTGCTGTCATTTGGTTTGAAATCTGATTTTCTTCTATACACAAGGGCAGGAGAGTTTGTGGGGTCCAAAGCTTTATATTCTGTCTTTCTAGCTCATAATTGGACCTCTTATGGCTTAATATTCCTGTACAACAATTGTAGGCACTGACGGAAAGTGAGGATGCTCTCAAAAACTATGTCATGAGTAGTTTTTACTTATCAGTTAACATCATAAAAAGTTCAGTAAAGGGAGAATCAGACCAGGATTTGGTGTGACCTCATTTTGTCTGTAAACCAGCACCAATTCTCCTGTGAACAGTTTTTCAAGGTACTTGGCAGGTAGGTGGTTCAAAGCAACTTGGAGAACTTGCAACAGTTCCTCTGTGGATTCAGGCTGTCTCAGTGTCTTCTGTCTCTTCATGTGATCTGAGACTGACTCAGTGATGATGACCACGATGGTGTTGCATGGACAAAAATGTATAAATCTGAAGTGCCTATAACTTTCACGCAGTGCTGTATGTGCCTTAAAAATCAAGGCTAAGCACAATCCCCAACAAGCTTCAATCTTATCAAAGTTACCAAAAGTTTTTTTTTTTTTAACATAAAACTACCATGAAGAAAGGCATCCAGTCAGCCCCTTTCAAACACAGTCCCTTGTTTTTTTTTTTTTTATTAAGTTTAAGTTTAGAGCCTGACAATCCTGGCAAAGGTGCAAAATCTGTATGCAGCCTGAAAGAAAATACAGGCATTGCTTAAACGTAACAATAAACCTCATTTTAGGTAATGTTATCACTTGTGGACAGCTTTAAAGAGACTTTTTAAAGCAGACATGCAAATTAATTCTGTTTACAATGTTTCTGTTCAATAGGACACAGCCACCACCCAAACTGGCAGTAGGCCCAAGCCACAAGTATGCTGACAACTACTACTTCACCAGAGACGGCCGCAGAGAGTCAGTACCCGCCACAGTTGTCATGTCTTCACAAAAGGCTCTCACTGCTGGCAGGTAAGTGACTCAAATCAAAGCAGTTTCATGTACAGTCATAATGTGATTGTAACCAGACAAGGATAATACTCTCATTGTAACATACTGCACATATTACTTTAGCTTGATTAAAGTGAAAAGCAGAGGAAGTGCACCTTATGAACAGGGCTGGAAGACAAATATCTAAATGTAGATTAAGACCAACTTTTGATCAGCTGCCAGTGTTCACAGCTGGAGTAAGTGGAGCTGTGGTAAGATATGTCAAGTATATCAGGGGAATTTTAGCCATGGAACTATTTAAATCAACCAATGGCTGTCTGAGTTTTATCCACATTTTTGCGACATGTACAATGAACCAGCTGTCTTGATGACACCTGCAACACGAGAACTTACCTCCTGCTGCCTTGCACTTTTATAAAACAATGAGACACCACAGCACCTGTTTTCCCTGATATCTGAAATGTATTACTTTCAGTTTGTAGCTGACTCTTTTGACTTCCTGTGTTGTTTTTTTGAATCTCTTCTAGCCAAGTTGCTGAAGCCCCAAAGCCTCCTGTTACTCCGGGTGCTGTATATAAAGAACCACCACTCTCCACAGACCAGCCATATCTGTGAGCAGCAGGACAAACTGTTTCAGCATCAACAGCCTAATTTCTCCATCTCAAGCTGCTGTAGAGGCCTGACCACAGCAAGTGTTGGTTGTATCCTGTACAATAGAAATGTGAATAAAGTGTGTTATATGTTTAAGTTTTTTTTGTCCAACTGGTTATTCTGGTCACATTATGAGCTGAACAAATGTTAAATCATCAGTGTCATCTGTGCAAAAACTTTATTGTCATGTGAAGAATAATTTGGACATACTGAGTGCAAAGAGGGTAGAATAGCAGGAATGACTTAGCAGATGAACTACATGATTTCATAAGCTGTCAGATGAATGTAATTCTTGTGAACATGGGGCGTATTGACATTGGCCAAACCCCAGTGTCCACCTTCAGACTTTGATGCCTGTTCCCATTAAGTCCTAGAGGGCTTAGAGCTGTTCCACTGTAAAATCAGCAGGTTCATCGGGCTCTCTCGTCGACATTTTGGGCCGTTTATGAACACTTAACGTCACTCCTGGAGACTTTACTAAGGGAATTACCCATAGTTCCGAGCGTTGGGACGTTAAACACGGGGTTACCATAGTTACAGGGCTTAGAAACGATAAAACGGAATAAAGAAGATACAAGAAGAAACGCAAATAATCAATCACGAAAGGAACGAACCCAAACTAAAAATTAAGTTTACATGTAAATATAAAGACATAGCTGACTGATGATTCGTGACCAGAACTGTGTGTAGCTGTTTGTCCTATCATGGCACAACGATGAATTATAAACAAAGTCCAAAACCCACAATTCTACGGAACATGTTTTGGCGTCATCAACGTGTCACAAAGTGCTGTCCCATTCTTTCTTTATACCATTTGAACGCTTGAGGCCTGAGGGGGCGGGGGGCATTGGGATTGAACCAGAAGCAAAGTTCAGCTTCAACCTGCGATTGGGTTTAATCAGCAAACTTGACTGGAAACACCTGGGTAGGTGTGTGCAGGACATGTGAATACACTGATGAGCTGTTTGATGACAGAAGATGCACACTTAAAGGTGAGCACTCAATGTAAAGTAGCCTATAAAATAATGTAGTCTATAATATTTAGTACCAGACTAGAAAATATCCAGTTTTAATCGACAGAATGTTCATATTTTAGACCTATAGAGAACAGGTTACACCCGGAAACCACTTAATTTAAACGTATTTAGCATCTTTGTGTTTGTGTTAAATAAAAAGTAAATAAAATAATTTATTTAATTAATTAATTTAAAAAACCGTCTCCAGTAGAAATAAATAAGGTGTCATGTTTCATTAACAAATCTGCAGGTTGACTGCATGGTTGTACATGGTTATGTAGCCTACTATAATAATACGTCCATGTGGTTGACAGGAGCTACTCTTGCGTCATATTTCTGCGCCGCGTGGGCTTGCAGCCGTGGAGGACATCTAGCATGGGACACCTTGGAGGTTTATTTCTTTTGGTCGTCTCCGTTTCGTGGCATCATATTCTGGGTAAGATGCTGGAAAGACTTGTGCGTGTGTGTGAGAAGAGCGATCTGGGTGCGTTCGCCGATATTTCGAGAAAGCGGAAGGACTTAATGAGAGTTTACAGTCGAGCAGAGCACCGCTCACTTTGAATGAAGTCTGTTTACCGTGCAAACTGAAGTGAACTTGGTTCTTGACCTGTTATGTTTTCACAGCTTATTTGCTGCATGTGTGCGAAATTTACCAATAGAAAGCTGGAAAGATGGTAAAATGAAATTTAAAAAAGGGTCCACTCTTCAGATGTCACCGGACTCCTTGTGCAAGCGTTTGAATTAAAGCCACCTTTTGGGCCATTTTAGGTATTTAAATATAAACTTAATATTTACATATTTAATTAAAATACTTAGTCATTTGTAAGTGTATGTGCATTTTCAGTGTAGTTCTCCAAGCCCAATGATTCCAAATTTGCTTATTATTATTATTATTATTATTATTAAACTCACATTTTGAGCAGGTAATCTGTTAAAATGATTCTGGACAGTCTGCCTTCACACAGAATCACCAATGCAATGGTGATTTCAAGGTCAGTTAAATTAATTTTCTGCAGTTTTTGGTGTTTTTCTGACATAAGATGTGATCGAACACAAGTGAAGAGAGCAAAACCGCTGTGAAATGGTACATTTTATCCATTTATTGAATAACTTCAGTCTTATCCTAGAGGCTTTATGTTAACACATGATGTTTAAAAGAAATTGAACAACTGAACAATATGATTGTTTATTTTTGTTGTTTGGCATGTGCTCATTTTTTTGTTAATCAATTCAAATAATTCATAAAATGCATATCAGACTTTGTTGATAGTAATTGATAATCTTTTGAATGTCTTTCCAGGTTTCCAGGAGTTTAGTTTAATAAGTTGTCATGCTTTTTCAAGCTATCATTCTTGCCCTGTTATATGATTAATTTATTGTCTTTTATGATGCCTTTGATTATTGACCGACATCCTGCACGCTTTCAGGTTCTGCAGGCCACTCTCTGCCCGCCTGCCATGAGCAGCTGGAGTTCAGGTGCAGCGATGGTTCATGCATCTCGGGGCTGAAGTTGTGTGACAGTCACACAGACTGCAAGGATGGTTCAGATGAGCAGCACTGCAGTGAGTCCCATGTTGAAAACATGATTCCATTCCATACACACACAGACATGCACTTTGGTTTGGGTGTCACAAGCTCCCTTTTTTTTTTTTTTTTTTTTTTTTTTTTTAAAGATGCACTCGCACATAAATGAAAACAAAACTGGCATTTCTTGTCACTTTAAATAATGTAGTAAGCATGTAGCAATTGTAGTAATTTAAGACATTAAAAGGCATTAAGGCAGAAAGTAACAAACAGGAAAGTATGAAAGACATAAATATGATTTTAAAGAGTCTAATGAAACAGAAGTTAAAAATAAGTAAATTATTTTTAAAAAATTACGTTGCAGTGTCATTCAAGTTTCATTTCATGAAAAGCGGTGATTTTGATTTAAACAAACTGAGAATTGGAGCAAACCTGTTCCAGATATATGACTAAAAGAACACTTAATGCTGCTTCTCCATAATTACTGAAGTGATCCATTAACTGAAAGAAATTTTCAAGTAACTGCAGCATTTCCCTCTTCAGTCGACAGCGATAGAGAGGGTTCGGCAGATGGATGGATAGATGGATTGTTTTGGCATGATAAGGGTTAATACAAGACTGAAGTCACCCATTCCTGACACCCAGGTGAGAGCGATGCCATGTGAAAGCAAAAACTGACACAGACAAGCCTGAAAATGTGACTCTGAAGTCTTCTAACAACAGAAGTAACTGCAGATGCATTATCATAAGCTCAGCACCATTCCTACAATTGTTACATATTGTACCTATAACACACACTGCGCTATTGGGGCTACAAAAGAACATTGTGTCTGTAGAGTCCACCGACTGTGGACTCTACAGACCAGAGGTGATTGTGTGTGATTTTCCCCGTCAATGGCATCATAACAGCACAAATGGTGTCAAAGTCTAACAGGTTCAGAAAATCACTATATCTAATTCATGTGTTCATATGCCCTTTTACTTACAATTGCCTTATTCAACATACAGTATTGTGTAATGGAGCTGATTATATCAGCCTGAAGGCAGAGCCGTGTTCAGATCTTCTGGACTGTTTTTCTATTTCAAAACTTGAAAGAAAGTCTTGAATTACAAATTTTGCCATATGTTCATTTTATCTTAATTATCTCAATTCCACAATTTTTGCAAAACAGGATATTGTCCTACTTATACTTATATATTTGTATATCCTTTTGTAATTTTTTAATTTCTGTGCTACAAAGATATCCTCTCATTTTCTGCAAGGTGTGGAAAAGTGCCATTGTAGAGTTTTGTTTTATAATCCAGTTGAAGTCATTAGCGACTTTGATATAGAATTCCAGAAGGATTAAGTGATCAGCATAACCTTTCTGCAGTGCAGAAAAACCCTGCAGGAGAAAAAATTCTAAAAGGATTTACTGTGATTTGTGGGATGAAAATAAACATTGCTGATGTAAGCGGCTGCAGGTATGAATATTGGCAGTGTTGCTCAGACGGTAGGGACGTGAGACTTAGACCTGAAATTCCCTGGTCTGACTGTCTGCCAGGAAAATGCAGAAAGTGAACAAGATTTACTTTCTTCTCTTCAGAAGTGCAGGACTCAGCAGCAGTGGACTGTGCTTACACTGGAGCTCAGTGGGAAAAGAGCAAATGAATAAAAGAAAGAGGAAATGATCTGTCCTCAGTCGCAGAACAATTGAATACAGTCCAATACAGTTTTGTGTTTTTGGCATACAACAGGGATTTTGTCAATTTTTGAAAAACATGATTTTTATAATGGACGTCTATGAGAGGAATGTTTCAACTAGGCTCAAACCCACTCAGCCTTCAGAGCCTGCTGCTCCGACAGAGACAGACAAAGTTCTGTTTATGTACAATTAGTAACAATTACATTTGTTTAAAAGAGCTGTCATGGGTCAGTGTTTGCACTGCAGTCTAGTAAACAGCAGGTTGGAGTTCAGCGCCCGGCGAAGGCAAACACATGATCCTGGCACCTCTGCTCAGATAATACAAGTCGACCGACTGGGCACAAGTGTCTGATTTCATGTCTTTAGTTTATGGGCAATTACACTGCTCCTTAACAAAAGTGAAATGGCTTCTTCCAGTAGTTGTGTTGGCTTGGTGGCTTGCACTACAGTTTCATAAACAGAAGCTTCAGAGTTCAATCTCCAGTAAGCAGTAGCTGCTGCAGCATGTCCCAGCACACTCACACACTTTCTTCAGAAAATACATTCGCTTGTTAATTTTTGTTGCTCTCTGCATAAACAGACTAGAAATCAGATGGATAAACTGGTGTTATCCCAGGATGTGGGATACTCTGATGTTTCTGCTAATGTTAGTTATCTGAAAAAAGCTACTATGTCACCAACTGTAAACACACAAAGTCATTCAGACTGGAGATTGGTAGTGAAGCCTTTTAGGACTCATTGCTGTAACTCTCACTCTTCACAGGTCATGCGAGGTGTAAGAAAGATGAATTTGCATGCCGCAGCAGACGGTGCATCTCTAAACGTTTCCTATGCAACGGCGTAGATGACTGTGGTGACGGGAGCGACGAGGATTCCTGCCAGAACTGCCCCCCCCCGGTCTTCTCCTGCGGGCTGTCTGACATTTGTCTGCCCAGACATAAGCTGTGTGATGGACGGACAGACTGCAAGGACGGGCGGGATGAGAGCCAGGAAATGTGTGGGTTGACGCAACCTCGCCCCAAAACATCTCCCAAATGTGCAGCTTCAGAGTTTCAGTGTGGAAATGGCCAGTGCATCAGCCAGGCCTGGAGGTGTGACCACTCACCGGACTGCTCTGATGGCAGCGATGAGGACGACTGTAGACTGTGTAAGTGATGCGATTCTCCTGTTTGTACTTGGAAAAATGTTGACTTTGCCAAAACCAAAAGAAATGTAGCATAAGAACAAGTCTCTAACTTCTGCCACCACCAGCTATTATGTTACATTCATTTGGTAGATGCTTTAATCCAAAGCAGTTTACATTTTTGGAATAAGAATAAAGGATCCAACCAATATTTCTCCCACGTACGTTTGGAGGAATTTGGAGTCCAGTGGCTCAAGGACCCTTCAATATATGTACTGTCAGGAATAGAACCAGCGACCCTATGATTAACATCCAACCTGCTCTACCACCTCATAGTTCCAAATTACAAGAAGTCTTAATAGTACAGCATACATACAACATTAAAATTAACATTTTAGACAACAGTGTTCTTTCAACTTTGAAGCCACACTTTGGGAAACCCCCTTTCCTGTTTCAACATGACATCGCCCCCATGCAGAAATCCCACAAGTCCATAAAGAAATGGTTTTCCCAGTTTGCTTTGCACAGAACGCTGACCTCAACCCCGTCCAGCACCTTTGAGCCAGGTCTTACAGCATCAGTGTCTGACCTAACTAAAAGCAGGCACTTTCTCAAAACTAGGTAGTTTATACGAAGTGCCAGTGGATCACGTCTGAAAAGGCAAGTGTTAGTTTATAGCTGCTCATAAAAGCCACCCACACTTGACGGTGAGCTGACAAGTCTGCCATCACTTGGCAGCGAGACACGATAATTGTTCAAATAAGGATAAAGGAGCATACTTCTCAAGAGTACCTCATTTCATTGTGCTGCACACACACAAAATGACTGTGGAAAATGGACAAGGAGAGCTTGAGAGAGAGAAGTTGAGACCCTGATTAACCTCTCGCTCTACACAGCTGGCTAGTTGCTACGTGCAGTTGAAGAGTTACAAAAATTGCTAAATATAGACCTTCCAATTGTGACTTTGGAAAGGTGTGGTGGAGGAAGGTTTCAGATGCTGATCAACTATTTGACAAGCTCTTCAGTTGAAACATACTGATGCCTTTATGTTCAGGTGATTGAATGGGAGCGAATTCCTGCAGCCAGGTTCCGAAATCGAGTGGAAGCTGTTAAAGCAGAAAAAATACTGTCTATGGTTTTGAATGAGATGCTCAACCAACACGCATGGGTCTAACATTCAGTTTTCCACATAAAGAATAGCCAGCGGAGGGCAGTATAGCACTAATTTATACCACACCGAAATACAGAAAGACTCTGATCATCTTGATAGACGCTACTCCTCATGCTCCTCTATTTTGTATGGGTAACAGGGTCATAAGCTAATCTGTGTCCTCTAACGGTAACCTGCAGGAATGCAGCAAAATCACATTTTAATCTTTATGAACTTGATGGGGAGTGTCATAAAATTCCTGTTGGTGGAGAGAATGTTGTTCTTTAAAGTGAGTTATAACAGCTAAAGTCTTAACTGGTAGTCAAGGATATTTTATTATTTATATATATATATATATATATATATATTTATATTTATGTCTATATAAGGTCTCACAGCTGACAGTGCGCATCAGCACAAAAACCAAGCCATGAAGAGGAAGGAACTGCTTCCAGAGCTGAGAGACAGGATTGTGTGGAGGCGCAGGTGGGGGAAGGATCTGGAAAAATCCTGCTGCATTGAAGGTTCCCAGAGCTCAGTAAATCCGTAAATCTTAAATGGAAGAAGAACCAGGACTCTTCCCAGAGAGTGTTGTGCTATTGTTTCCTCAGCTGTTGTTTCCCAAGTCAAGAACCTCAACACCTAAACATTTGTGTGGATACTTTTTAGTTGTGCTATTGTCGTGGTTCTAGGGAAACTGATGTTGGTCAGTCCCCCATTTCCATCCAGGCTGTAATATCTCAGCAGAGACTTCTATGAAGTAAGGTTTAGACAATAGTCCTATGGACTTGGTGACCCTTTGACCTTTTCTCTAATGTCACCAGCAGGTCAAATTTTTTTCACTTATTCTATGAACATGAATGTGACATGAATATCATCAAGAAAAAATGTGTTGCATCATGAGCTGCATTATCAACAACAGATGTGCTTGCTGCCTTCTCTCCCCCCCCCCCCCCGATATGATTGTTTACTGTCACAGTGAAATAATCTTCAAACTCATATGAACACTATTTGTCATTTGGCGCATCATGTTTGCAACTCAAACATTGTGTAGACGTGAACATGAACAAAGAAGTTTAACCTTTTATCACACTAACAAACATCAGGGTACACCACTGATGATGTAACATTTGCTCCTGCAGATCAGAACCAGTGCCAGGTCAATAATGGAGGCTGTTCTCACGAGTGTGTGGACCAGCCTATGGGTTTCCTCTGCCTCTGTCCTGACAACATGAGGCTGGTCAGGGACAGCCAGTGTGAGGGTGAGTGGCAGCTTGTTAAGTTTTACATCACCAGTTATAAAGATTTGTCCTGACCAAAAACACAATACATTTATGAAAGGGAGGGTTATAGTGTTATTTTTTTCTTTTTTCTTTTAAGGGTGGGTTCATTTTTGTGTTACATAGTATTTGTATCATAATGTGAAAGTATACGAGCTATGAAGTAATGATAGCTGGGCTTCCATGTATTTTTAACACAGTCTCGTTTTCAAGTATTCGCTCTTCCATGTAGATGTCGACATGTGCCTGGAAACAGATGTGTGTGATCAGCTGTGTGTTCACATGAACGGCAGCCTCACCTGTGACTGCCACGAGGGCTACACCATGAATCCAACAACCAGAGAGTGCAAGGCCAAAGGTGAGAAACAAATGGTGTGTATAACTGGTAACTAGCCACTGGCAACATGAAGGTTTAAGATTCTTTCATGCTTTGATGTTTGATCCCAGGTCTTTCTTCCCTGTAGCCAAAACATTTACCTTCTGTGCAAACTTTGTGTTAATGACAAACCCACCGAGAAACACTGTGCAAATTCTAAATAGTTCATACAAATCTGCCAAGCAGCAGTGAGTTTTTCATCACACATCCCCTCCTCAGTGTGACTGATTGAGCCGTTTGTCTCTACTTTCTCCAGCATGTGAAAAAAGTCTCACTTGCTCAGCATAAACAGGCAGATCCTCACATATCTAGTTGCACTATGAAATTACTTACTAGATAACTGACTAAATTTAAATATGGGCATTTGCGGTGTGATGTAGTACCTCAGTTTATTCTTTATTTCAGGGAAGAGGACAGGCATCCACTTTTATACATAGAGAAATTGTGTAAACAAGTTCTTTCTTGCTTTCTTTCAATCTTGTTTCCTTCCTTCCTTCCTTCCTTCCTTCCTTTTCGCCTGCCTGACCAGAAATACAGTACCAGTCCAAGTTTGGACACTCCTTTAATTAAATTAATAAAATTTTCTCTAGTTGTAGTATTTTCTACATTTTAGAATGATTACATAGTAAACAGGGAAGTGTAAACAAAGCAAAACGTTTTAGATTCCTCAAAGTAACCCCCTTTGTGCTTTGATGACAGCTTTGGACACTCTTGGCATTCTTTGACTAGTTTTATGAGGTGGTCACCTGGAATGGGGTTTTCCAACACTCTTGAAGGAGTTCCCAAAAATAATGTATTTTAACCATGTACCAGATTTAATGTAATAATAAAATATATTTGAACCCCACCTTAAACAAAAAACAGTAAGTCTGAACTGAGTCTAAGTGGTCCCAGTGGAAGTGGAAATGGTAAGAAAGAGGTTAGTGGAAAAATACAGTGAGCCATATTGCAGGATTTTCACTAAACACATTGAGGTTGTGTGTGTATAATGAGAGGGCCAAGATGAACGTTAAGTTGCTCTTAAGTGTCTGATTTTTTTTTTTTTTTTAAACTCTTTTTGTGAACAAAAAAGGGTGACCAGTACAGTAATTCTAAAAAATGTAAAATCTTGTAGTCACACCATTTCCCTCAAACTGCATGTCTCGGCTCTAGTAAACCCATGTAGACTATTGCCTGAAACAATTTTCACTGCATGTGTCCCTGATCTCCCTCATAGCCTGAGGAGGTGAAAGGTTAGCATCACCTGAAGTACCTGGAGTCATGCTATTTAAATATGACATCACCAGAATACGTCCCTCGTATTTTATCAGTGCCATTCACAGGTTTGTTTAACTTTCTGCCCTAATGTTTGGTGAGTACCTTCAGTCTGTTATTGTGTGACACTCGAACTGGTTCCGCCTTTGACTTATTTACATTGTAAAAGTAAGTACGGCTGTACAAACATATTAAGTGACGGTGATCAGTTCACCAGAGACGTACTTATTGAACAAGCCCACATAATCCTCAGGAGCCCATTATTTCAATTGTGATCTGCTGTTGTGTGACGTGGTTGCCATTATGTTAGAAATTAGTTACTGTTGGGTTGGTTTTTGTTGAACTATCATTTTTTTCTGATAGTCTGTTGATATGATACTTGAGTTTTGCTACAGATGACAAAACATGAACCTAGCATTTTGCACACTTCAATAGATAACGTCACAGTATTAAGTTTAAAATACCTCCAGATATTTTCACCAGAATCAGCAGAGAGAGAAATGACAACTTGAGAAACTTCATTCTTATTGTGATTTCTTTTTCTTTCTTTTTTTTTCCCTCTATATGCTTTCAGGAGATGAGGCTCAGCTGGTTTTCACCTCTTCTAAAGGAATACAACGGAGCAGCATCCCTGGTACAGAGCACAGGGAACTGGCCCCACATTTACCAGGACCGGGGCCTGTGGCAGCCTTGATCTCAAACAGCACACTGTACTGGGCCCAGAAAGGACGAGGCTCCATATACAGGTACCAGAGTGGAACTGTAGCTGCTGCTTCCACCAAACACCTCTTCATTTACTAAACCCGAAGGGATGCTCGGGGGAGGTCAAAAACACAATCTGTGATCCCAAAGCAAACCAACTGGTAAACCACCTACCCATCCATTTTCAACGCTTATCTGTGTTTGGTTAGCTGTGGCAGCAGAGTAAGCAAGATAGTTCACTAGTTCACCAGAGATAATAATTTACAGGGTGGATTGTGTTATGTAACCCTGCCAACATTGTTTGTTTGTTTTTGTTTTGTTCACAGAGTCTGCAGAAAAAGTTTCACATTTAAAGTCAGTGTTTCGCTGATGCTGTACGATGGACATGAGATGTCAGGGAATGGTTGGGAGCTGAGATTGCGAATAACCTTTGTTTTGATTGTTTCTCTGATAACTTATGAATCAGATGTCCAGGAGGTTATTACTGGCAGCCGAATTATCCACAGAGGTCCTCCCATAACAAACGGACCAGTGGATTAAAACCGGTAAAAACAACGAATAAAGCAGTTTCACTTTAAAAATCTGTGATTTGTCAACACTCTTCGGCAGACACAGGACGTCTCAGAGCGAATAGGAGCTGAGCTGCCTAACATTTGCCTGCCTCTGATAACTTAAGATCCAGACGTCCGATAACTAAAATCATTCATTCGGTCAAAATAGCCAAAAAAGCCAAATGAAACGGATCGTTACCCTGATTTTGGTTTTGGTTTTCCCCAGTTGGGATAATGTAAGTACACAACGTAAAAAAATATAACATATCTAGTCTTATTTATTTATTTTTTTAAAAAAGGCATTTTGCTTTGCGTCAGTGTAGTTTAATCCCTGTGCGGAACATAGAGGCTGGTAAATTGAAGAAAAGGGATCCTGATAGATTTTAGTGCACAAACTCCTTTTTGTCCAAAATAAAAGATAATCAATTAATTGAAAAAAAAAAAAAAAAAAACATTTGTAAATAGATAGATGCCTCTGATCCTTTCCTACACTATAGATGGAGATAAAGGCTACAGCCATCCAGTGCTGTGAGGTTTGAATGAATGCCAATCAGCATGCCAACATGCTCACGATGACAATGCCTGCATGCTGATGTTTAGCAGGTATAATATTTACCATGTTCATTATCTTATTTTAGCATGTTAGCATGCCACCGTTTGCTAGCTAGCACTAAACACTTTGGAGGGTGGGAATGAAATTAGTCTTGCTGGTATTTGGTTATAAGATAAAGCAAGGGAGTGAAATTTTGACTTGATGAGGCGATCGCCAAAGTTATTACAATTTATACCAAAGATGACGCCAATCTGTCTACCAAATGTCATGGCAATCTATCCAATGGTTTTTGAGATATTTCACTAAAAACAAAAAATGTCAACCTATTCGTGGCATTAGACGGAAGGTAAGGTGATCACCAGAGACAGTTGCATGAATATCTGTACAAATTTCATGACAATGCATCCAGTAAATCATGAGGTATTTTAGTCTCGACCAAAGTGGTGGATCGTCCGACATCACCATCGCTAGCGTTATGCCTATAGATCATAGTTCTTTGGTTGCATTTTAGTTTTAAATTTTCAGTCATAATGGGAAGAGGTGAATGAACCTGATGCTATATCTTTTTATCCGTGTTTGTTTCTCAGGGTCTCCATGGATGGAAAGGATGCCATGCTAGTGCTGAATGTTAAAGGTTCAGTGTCCGCCCTGGCTGTGGACTGGATCCACCAGCTCCTCTACTGGACCAGCATGGAGAGTGGTTCTGTTAATGTCGGCCTGCTGGACGGTTTGGCACAGCGTCAGCTCATCACAGGTCTGGACAAACCTTCTGCAGTGGCTGTGGATCCTCTCCAGGGGTAGGACGGCACAGGAATTTACATTTTATTTTAATTAATAGTAAATCACGTCATCAGGGAAGTTAAGTGATGTTCAAAGCAAGTCAGCAGGATTATTAAAAGCTTTAGCTGTGATTACACACTCTTTAAATTACAGATATTTGTTTTAAAGGCTTTTGACAAGGTGTTTCTGAGCTAACACGACACCTGTTTTCTCAGGTTGCTTTTTTGGGCTCAATGTGGCAGCTTCCCAAAGATTGAGGGAGCCAGCTTGGACGGCCGGGACAGAATGGCTCTGGTCACTTCCTCGATACGCCACCCTGTTGCCCTCTCTCTGGGTATGTTCTGATATATGCTACAGAAAGTTTTGAATCTCTCTGGAACTTGCAGAAGGTTTTAAAATCTGTATTTTTCTTACGTTTGTTGTCAAATCTATCAAAGTTGTTGGGGAAAATCCTAGCTTCCCCTTTAAAACAAGAACATTATGAATGTATTCATGCTCTGAGGGCTGACTGCCATCACAGGTAAGTTGAGTGTATTTGAATAAGTCCTTCAGTGCTACAGTTTATTGTGCCCATTAATGTGTCCATGTGTTTTTTTTTTTTTTTTTCTAGATATACCTCGCCAGCTGCTGTACTGGGTTGATCAGGGAATGAGAAGCATCTCCAGAGTAAATCTAGAAGGCCGGGAACGTAAAACAGTGGTCGAGTCTAACGGCTATCTAGATCGTCCCTTCGGACTGGCTGTGTTTGAGGTAAAACAACATTACAGCCCTGTGTTGGAATGGAGGTTGAATGGTGTACTCATGCCTTTCACCTAGTGCATACTGGCACAGTCTTTTGCCACCCATGAGCTGGAAAAAAATAGGTGAATGTGGTATAATAAAAGTAACAAAGCAAAGACCTCAGCAACTATAATGACAGAAAGGCTTAGACAACATCTCCCTCTTTTAAACTCACACAGAAGAAATTACAGAACTAGAAATGACAAAAGGTGGTATATCGCCATTTTAAGTGCTACTGTAGTCTGATTTTATATACATATATATGTACTCTGTGCCACTAATCCTAATGCAGAACAAAATGAGGAGTGAGCTCCCCTCATTTCCTTTATATTTAATCTCTCTAAATCCTTGACCTTTGACCTTTGACCACTTAATTCTAATTAGTTCATCCCTGAATCGAAGTAAATGTTTGTACCAAATTCCCTAAAGGCCTTACTGAGATCACGTTCACAAGAATGGAAGGGAAAGAAATTTTGAGTTTAATATATTTAATATTTGAATCTCATATCCGCTTCCATACTATTGACACAGCAATATTTTTCCTTAACTTAATTTTCCAATAACTTTTCTGTTTTTTTTTTTTTTTTTTTTTTTTTTTTTTTTCTTTTCTCCTCGTTTTTTTTTTTCTTGTCTTACGTTTCTGACGGGGAAAGAGATTTTGTTTTTACTAACATAACAGTGGCGTTCTTGACCACTAGTGGCACTATGGTGCAAGGTTTTGATGATGGCGTCCACATTTTGTTTCCGTCTTGTCTTCTACTAGAAACACTGGCCACTGCGGTGGGAAATGAAATGCATTCACCTCAAAGATTGGCCATGTAATGTCCCTTGGTTTCATGCTATTCCATTGATTGACAGTTGGAGAAGATAAAATGAATCAAATAACACAATGTCACAAAGTGCTTCACTTTAATTAGACATTTAATATAAAACAAATAAAATTGAGGAAATTGAAGTTTCCTTGCTTTATTGAGGAAGGAAACTGATTCAGCTCAAGGGCCTCAAGGACAGACAGCATTTGTTGAGAAACACTGAATATAAACATAACTGGTTACTGTCCTTAACTCAACCCAACTTATAATGAAAACCATTTCTCCTGTTGTATAGTGAAACGATTGCTGCTAAGTGTCTCTCTGTTTTGATTCAGGGTTTTGTGTATTGGAGTGAAGAAGTTACACGCTCCATCTGCCGAGCAAACAAGCACAATGGCCGCCAACTTCAAGTACTGCTGACAAATATTACCTCGCCAGGCAGTGTGGTCATCTCTCAGCCTGTTCTTCAGCCAAATGGTACGACCAATCAAAAGCAATTTCTGCACAGACTTCATGATTGTTTTTTTAATTTTTGTGTTAGGCACACACTTCACTTGAAAAGTGTGGTAAATAAACAGATTACAGCCACCTCACGATCACTGATTCCTCTGGACTGACCATATTCTGCCGGTTTTTAAGGGCCATCCGTGTGTGGACGTCCCGGGACAATGTGCCGGCATAAGTGTGTTGTCAGCCTGCTGTCTGACATCCCAGAGTTCAGCTGCATTTTCCCAGAAACACAACAAAATAAGTCTCAAGCATTTCCTGCTATCTCTCGCACCGTGCCTGCAACGACTCTGTCTGATCCCACGTTTACCGGGATCCTCTTCCTTATTGGTAAGAATGTGTAACCAGTATCATCTTTTTACCGCAGTGCGGAAAACCACCTGTACTTAGTTTGGCTGTAATGAATAACATGACCAGTTCTACCGGTAATCTCCAGCCTGAAATAACAAACTAAATTAACAAAACCCCACCGCACCTAACTGTGCATGGAGGAACGAACCCTGCTTGTAGAAGGAAGAGAGGACAAAAGAACCCTCACCCAGGTACAGCTGTGTGTGTGTGTGTGTGTGTGTGTGTGTGTGTGTGCGTGTGCGTGTGCGCGCGCGCACTCTTATCCCCTCCCTCTGTCCCCGAGTGCTGATTGCACCCAGGTGTGCACCAGGCAGAGGGACCTGGGAGGCAAGAGTAGCAGCGAGAGAGGACAGACCACCACACATCCAGGGCGCACGCAACAGTGACTCATAATTAAATATTTATTATACAAGATGACTACTGATATATAATTTTGTCCCTCATGTTTGATTTAGTGAGTTTCCCAGCTGCTTCTCAACACTAGTTTATTTAACTCAGATGTCTACTGTAAGCTAGAGGCTATACATGTGATGTCACAGCACACTGATGTCAACATGGTCACTCCCCTATGAGTCATAACCATAAAACATTCAGCATCATTGTACACTAGTTGAGCAGTTGATTCCCCACAGAGATTCAGGCAGACGTTAATACAAACTATTGAAGGCTTAAAAGAACCTATATGAAGCAATGCTTTCTAAGTAGTCAACTTTAAAAACATAAATATTTTTACCATCCTGTCCACAGACACTCAGAAAGTCTTGTGCTTTCGAGGCTCTTTTGAAATAGGAGCAGTCTGTATGTGTTTAAGTATATATTTACTATATTTACCTAGTTAATCATGTGAAGTGTCTTCGAGTATAAAGAGAACTTCTACAAAGGAAATGTATTATTAGTATAAACATTTAGGGGTTAGGAAAGTCTCTCCTTAAAATGTCCAGCACTTTGTATGAATCCCTGTTGATTTTTGACAGACGTGACTTTTTCAAGATCTTTTGGTTTTCCTGCCAGTATTTCAGCTTTATTCAGTCATAGCAGCCACCTGTTTTTCCACTCAGAGGAGGTAAGGGTGGGGAATTACAGAAAGTTGTTGTCAGCCCTCTGTCGGGTCCTCTGCCCTCTGTCGGGTCTGCAGAGGCTCTAGAAAGTGACTTAAGTCTTGTCTGTGTGTGTGTTTCCCAGTGTTTCTCACTTTGCTGCTGGTGGGAATGGCTGTGTGGTGGTGGAGAGAGGAGTTCAGCCCGTCCAAGTCTCTTATAGTGCAGAGCTTTTACCTCAAAGAGTCCCAGGACCCGCTCATCACCCGGGGGCCACCCATGGGTCCAAACTCATGTCTCACCAAGGTAAGAGAAGTTTGTAAACACACAAATGCAAACATAGGCACCTTCATTCACCTTCAGAGAGGAGATTCTTTCCATTCAGCTGCATATGTGTACAGCTGAGAGAGAGATATATATATATATATATATAAAACTGTTATACTGAGGTGTTGGTTATTTTGGAGTCTGTTAATGATGTGGAAAAACTCTCAAACAGGAAAGGTGAAGATTGCACATCATGAGGTCTCTATAATGTTTTTGGCTTCGCCTTTTAAAGGCCCTGAAAACTTATTATCTGAATCAGCTTTATACTAAAAGTGACTGGGTCACACAATTTTCTATCAGTTGGAAAAAGTTTAGTTTTTTGCATAAGAGATTCCTATGTTTGTATTTTGTCTGAGCTCTTCTCTCTGGTTGGAAGTGGGACCAATTTCATTTGGCAAAAGCCACATTTGAATCAAAATCTGATGACAGTTGTTTGACAATGCATGTTCAGTCAAACCTGATTATAACCAATGATTTTGATTGTTGCACATTAATGAATATTTAGTGTTTATAGAGAAATATTTACATTTTTTTAAATTTACATTCATTCAAGTTTCCTGGGCTTTACCTTAACAAGCCACACGAGAGAAACACTTAAAATTATTGGCATATTATTTCTAGCTTTTCCACTTCAGCACAAATTATTTAGATCAACAAATTCACAAGACACGAATGAAGGAAACTGAATCTAGAATATTGGTTTTCCAAATTTAGGCATACAGTTCGTACAGTTGTACTGTGCAGACCATCTGAAGTTACACTAAACATCAAATTACATTTAATAATATAAGACTTTATTTGTATAGCACTTCTCAATATTTATATATCAATATAAATAATAATATATAAATAATATATATATGTATACACACACACACACACTTGTTTTGTCCCAGTGTAATAGTGTATGCCGCTATGTTATGCCTCAAAAATCCAATATTGTTTGTTTAGGTTCCTTGATTTGAAATGTGTGGCAGCTTTTCTTAAAAAGCTGACCGTCTCTCTAAAGGTGAAGGGCTTATTAGCATGCTGTGTGTCAACTAAGCTGTGTTTTCTACACTGCCAGGAAACTCTGCCTAAGCTGGACTTGGACAATGAATGAAGAAGGTGTGACACAGTTGGTCAGCAGACTGCGCTTCACCTGGTATGATCTCAACCCCCGCACAGGACAACAAGACAACAAACCTAGCTGATGACCCTGTCGTGTCCTGACTCCCTGTGGAGGTTAAATCTCTGACGGAGTGACTCTGTGGTAAATATCTGAGATGGGAGAGGGGAAAAGGCCTTCAAACAGTCATTACTGTTGTAGCATCAGCTCTGAAAGAGTATTACTTTCAGCCCTGGTGGCTCTACAGTAGATTACATCTTGTTGATGATGATGACCATTGTCCAATTTCACCCTGAAAGCTGTGAGCAGAAGTGAACAAGCATACATGTATTTTTGTGCTTTAAATGAGAAGATGCTGTTGCCTTATGTTTAAAACCCTGTTATCAAGCATTTTGCTCAACAAGTTGCCAGCTGTGTTAGTTTTACGGTCTCCAAGATAATCAATGGAAAGGTAATCTGGCAAGATTAGACATTAAACGATTAATTGATTCATCAGTTAGTCATAAACAAACAAATGAACTGGCAAATTAAAGAATTTTCTGCTTTTCTTTTTTTTTTAAATATTTGACAGTAAAATAAAATTTTATTTGGGGTTTGGACCATTGATCAGACAAACAAGTAATGGGATGACTCTGGGAAGTGGTGACAAATATATTTCAGTATTATTTGAGGTTTTATGGACAAAACCATCAGTCAATGAATTGAGAAAACAATGTTTCCTTGCAGTCCTGGTGTAGAATTATATTTTATTGTTTTATTGCATGACCTCAATTCCCATTGGAATGTTTATTTCAGTTTATTGCACTTCCCGAAACTTTTGCAGCATTATAAACGGATCAAATAGGGGTATTGTGATCGAACTTTTTTTTGCTCATAGGCTTTCAGGATTTTCACACTCTTGGTTTGTCAGCATGAGACTGTAGTCAAAGAGATGCATTATTGCATTGAAATTTATGTTGCCTTTTGCACAGACTTCACCCATCTTTGAACTCTGCCTTCATTTTGATCTCAACTGCACACGTGTTCTGTGAGTGTATCTTGCAACGTTGTGACACCATTGTGGTTACACAATCTGTCCACATACATATAGACACATAAACTACTGCTAAAGTACTCAAACCTGCTGTTTGGAGTTTGTAGTTCCCGCAACAGCATGTTTTTCCAGGACCACATTTTTACACACACACACACACACACACACACGCACACACACTGGACAGGATGTGCACACAATTAACTTCTGTAAGATGTACTGTAAAAATTCAGAGGTTGGCTGTGATGATTAATGCAACAATGATGCAAAAGTTAATTTAAAGTAGCCTTAAAGTTTAATTAAAAGATCAGATTTGATTCTCACAGGGGACATCTGCAATAACTCCATTGCCACATCTGGAATAGTGGTAACTTCCTTTTGGATAAATTCATCCATCAAAGAGGATGGTGATACAGTTTTACTAATAGTTAAACTTCAAGCTCTTACTGAGTACTTATTAAACTGCTGCTGCTTTTTCAGCTCTGTCACCAAGAGCAAGTGCCACAAAAATCTAGCTTTATCTTCATGTTTTGTCTTTGAATGTTGGAGGAAAGGATCAGATAGCAGAGCATAGTTCGCTATTTTCTTTTGGATATAGTACAAATAGAAATACACTGTATTGTAAATGCTGTAGCTGGAGTCAGCAGCTGGTTAGCTTAGCTTAGCTTAGCTTAGCTTAGCATAAGCACTGGAAAGAGGGAAACGGTTGCATGACTTAGTCCAAAAGTAGGAAAAGCCACAAACCAGAACTTCTAAAGCTCTGTGCAAGGTGAAAGCTCTAAAGCAATGCTATACAAAAAATGGAGATATTAAGCCTAGCTTGTTGAATGGCAATAATACTGACATGTAGTTGGTTTAAACAGTGTGAGGAAAGAAACGGTTGGTTGTGGGTTTTGTGTTTTGATGCCTTCTGAGCGCTGGTACTACAATGGGAACAAATGTGTTTTGTAAAGTTAAATGGTTTTGCTCTTGTGTGAACTCTGGTTGGAGTGAATGTTGGACTGATTGACTTGCTGTGTTTGATTCCAGTCTTTTTGTGTTGTTTTTGTGATCTGATAAAATGATTAAAAAAAAAAAAACTCTGTTGGCACTAGTTGGGAGATAATTCTGTAAGTGTGCTCATACGTTTGAGTTTAGTGGTTGATATTTATTTTTAAGAAATGTTTTTTTTTTCTATTTTTGAGTAGCTTTACAGTTAGTGTAGAACTGTGTTTGCACCCTGGATAAATCTGTTAAATGCTGTAAATGAATTAAATATATAAATATTTTATGTTCTTTTTTTTTTTTCCTTTCATATTTGTGTCCATTATCTTTTGTCACACTATGAAATCTCAAGCGTGAAACAGAAGCCTGTAGTTTATTAACCACTGTTTAAGTATGATTACCTGATTACTGTTGGAATGTGTGAGAGAAAAAAGTAAACATGGTAAATTATGTGCCTCTGCACGGGTAGGTAGGAAGGTCATGATAAAAGGATTAATCATCATACTCTGTTTCCTGTTCCTTTCTGCGGTCGAAGTAGAAAATAAGAACGTGAATCAGAAGCAGCCTGTGTTGGTACAATGTGTACCACTATTGCTTCCCTGTTGATTCACATTACAAGTTAACTTTTCAGTTCCTTGTTGCATAAACTGACTTAATCTATGCCACAATTTATTCACTGGATACTGCAATAAATTTCCATCCTATAAGCTGTGTTGCAAAAGATAATGATCCATGAACCCCAGCCTCACTTGCTGCATTTTAAGCTGCTACAGTATAGACAGGAGAAGAAGCAAGCTCTTTGCAATTGAAAAAATTGTAGTGAAGTAGCAGATATAAGTTGTTTTAATTGTTCACACTGATGTATTGAGTATTTTCATACTCTGATAGCATTTTATATCAGCTGAAGTTGAAGGATATTTTGATTGATTAGGACAGAATTACAAGATAAAGACTACAGCCATGTAAAGCTGTAGTTTGGCACAGGAGAGCTGTGAACTAAATGTTAACGCATTATAGCTTAGTGAGTTAGCATGCTAACATTTTTACTTGGCATTGAACCCAGCTAAAGCTATAGTATTTGGTCATAAACCAAAGTAATGGCAAATTTTGACCTGATAATGGCACTAGACTAAAAGTCTAACAGTATCACCAAAGTTACAATTCATCTTAAGGAGGGCATGGATGTCTTTACCAAATTTCATCCAATAATTATTGGGACACTTCAGGATTCATCATCTGGGCACCATGGATAGGCAATATGTATCAAATTCCATGCCAATCTATACAGTAGTTGTTAAAATATTTCATTCTGAACCAAAGTAGTGGACTGACAGACTGACATTACCATCCAGAGAGACACCCTGGTAGCATGGCAAAAAATAAATGACAGTAATGATGCCTGAAGGATATAAAGGCATGGATAACCTCTCCTCTATTAAACTTATTTGGCAGTAAGTTCACTGTATTAATGCTGCTGTTGCTGCTATGATTTCTGGTAAAAAAAAAAAGCAGCTTTGTCACAAATTTCAGCAAATCTATAGCCTAATGGAACATTAAAGCCTTTTAAGCCTCTGGCAGACCATGGCACACTTGACAGTTGTTCAAAGAGGTCAGCAGTATCTTCTTAATATTTATGATACCTTTGCTGATTCTTAACATATGAAAATATTGATCAGCTTCCGACTCTGTATAGACTGTTAATGTGTGTAGTCTGTGCTATGTGTATAACGTTTTACAGTAAATCCGTCCTTGGCAGGTTTAGTCAGATAGTAAGTTGTGAGCTAGACAAGTAGGTTAGCAGGAGAAGATCACACGCAGTCAGTTGAGGTGAGTCACCTCCAAATGACTTGTCTTGACGGAGAGTCAGATTACTTCTTGTCCAGTCTGAGGGAGTCCAAGAATAAACAAAAAATTTTAGCTTTCATCATTGTGCCTCTTTATTTGTGAGCAGTGATATTTTGAGTGGCAATATAATATTGTTCATTTGTATGACAGATAATGGCTCAATTTTTAGCAATGCTTTTGACTTGGCATGTTGGTCTGTTGGTCCAGTCCCCCAGATGGAAATATCTCAACAACCATTGGGTGGACTGAATGAAATTAAGAGCAGACGTTGATGCTTCTCAGAAGATTAATCCTGCCAATTTCCTGATCCCTTGATCCTCTAGAGTCACTGGTAGGTTGACAAGCTTTTGATGGAATATCTCCAAAACTAATAAATGGATTACTATCAAATTTGGTACGGATATCCAAGGCAGCCACAGGATGACGCCTACTGATCTTGGTGATCCGCCATCCTTTTTTTTGACTCTTGAGGTTTTCAGTGGAATATCTCAACAGCAGCAGGATGGATAGCCATGAAATTTGCTCAGAATGAATTGGAACCACTCGTCTGACTCGTCATCTAGCACCATCAATCCCAACATTTCAGTTAATGTTCAGTGAATATTTTTAGATGTGTGGAAACAGTATGAGGACATGAAAGTCAATACGAACGTGAGGAAAAAAGGTCATTTAAAAGAGGAACAAGAAGTAAATATATAACATAAGCCCGTTGGCCCTTGGTCTCAACACTTCAAAATCCTTAAATCAACTTTGTGTCCTAATGCAGCCACCACCACCACCCTCCCCCCTTATATTTACAACTGCTTAAGGAAACTTGGAAGGGAAACCGTGAGATTAAATGGATGAAATCCCTGCTCCTAGCCCTGGCTCTCCTAGTCTGATAAATCAAATGCCTTTGCTTTGTCTTCGCAGAAACAGTCAGAGGAGAGTCTTTTCCTCTCCCCCCAACTCTCGACAACAGAGTCTCAGCCACAACTGAGCCAGCAAAACAGGAAGTGCTGCTTTTCACGGGGGTATCACTTCCTGCAGGACAAGATGCAGCTTTTCTGTTGATTCAGTAACGTATGATGTGCTGCTAGAGTAAGTTTCCTGGGGTGCTTCCTACTTTTGTTTTCTTTCTTTTTGTTCAGTTTAATTGAATTTGTGTCTTGAACCACAGTTGCCATGGCTTCAGAGCAAGCGCAGCTTCAGAGAAATTTACAAAATCGCCGCTCTACTATCAACTATCTATCCATGGGTGTAGAGGACAACAAAACATTCCCATTTTCTCAGGAGAAAACAGTCAAAGCTTGGAGCTCTCTGGAGAATCTTGACAGTCCTGGCATCAAAGCAGAGTGCCCTAAAGCTGAGGAGAGACCTAAACGGCAGCAGAGCATCAATGTTAATGTTGGAGGGAAAGTGTTTCATATCCCTACACAGTGTGCCATTAAATATCCTAACACCCGGATAGGCTCCTTAGCTCTCTGCAGGGACAGAGCAAAACTCCTCACACTATGCGATGACTACTCAGTGCGCAAGAATGAGTTCTTCTTTGACCATGACCCTGCCTTCTTCCACCACATCTACCATTTCTACACAAGTGGAGTGTTGTGGATCATACGGGAAATGTGCCCCATCAACTTTGAGGAGGAAATTGCATACTGGGGTCTGAGCATGAAGGACACTCAGCGCTGCTGCTGTATAATGTTCGAAGAGAAGGTGGATGAGGTGAAGGACGACCTGAAGGTGGAGAAGGAGCTCATGGCTGAGATTGAGGTGAATTACAACGATGACTGTTTCAAGGACATGATATTTGGGGATTTGAGGAAGAGTCTGTGGAACGTTGTGGAGGATCCATACTCTTCACCTCTGGCAAAGGCTTTCACTGTGCTCTCCAACCTTTCTTTGCTCTTCTCCATCATGGCGATGACCCTCAGCACTGTGGAGGAACTTCAAATATATAGAATTAATGGCAAAACGCACATGGAATGGGTGGAGATCATCACCATTGTGTTCTTTACCTTTGAATATTTAATTCGCCTTGTCACCACTCCTAACATCATAATGTTTTTCAAGAGTGGACTCAACTTTGTGGACATGGTGGCGGTCATGCCTTATCTCCTTCAGATCATCTTCGCAGCCTTCACTGACACCGGGGACGTGAACGGAAAGGAAGACCTCAGGGTCATATCTCAGGCCAGCAACATAAGTCATGTCCTCAAAGTGGTCAAGCTAATGAGGGTCTTTCGGATTTTGAAGCTGGCTCGACACTCAACCGGCATGAGAGCATTTGGGTTCACTCTGCGGCAGTGTTACCAGCAGGCCTCTTGCATTTTCCTTTTTATTGCCATGGGAATCTTCACTTTCTCTGAACTCATGCATTCAGCCGAGAGGGAAACTGAGGGATCTTCCATCAGCAGTATCCCAGATGCCTGGTGGTGGGCTGCAGTGAGTATCAGTAGCTGAATAACTCAATATCATTTTTTTTGGCTGCTTTGAAGGACTGCAACTCTTTTCCCTCAATGCTTTGTTTTTATTAACAAGAGAAAAAAAAACAAAACAGAGAAGTGTATTTAATGTATACCTCTGTGTGCAGGCTGGCATGGGGCAGCCCTTTGGATAGTCAGATCCAGACCAGACACTGTATCTTAGAAACTGGACAATCCTGATCTATGAGCATTTGCCATGTTAGGAAACTCCCTATCTGCCAGTAAAGTATATCTCCCAAAATATACTGTCGCCTGCTGGCAGGATAATGGGATTTACAGTGTGCAAGATTAACTTGTATAAAATCAAGACTATATCGGAAGCAATTAAGTGTAATCACTGCTATAAACCAAGCCAAAAATCAACATGTCCTCCACCTTTTTCTGGATCCAGAACACAGAACACAACAGGTGGAGTGAGAAAATGTGACTTCTTTGTTGTTACTTGGTTGTTATGGGGTTATGGGCATTTGTTTGGCAAGCTGCAGGCAGGCTGGCAGATAATGAATCCACAGAGCAGGGCAGGCAATCCAAAATCCAAACAGGTGAAACAACGAAACTGGGCTGCAGGAATTTGAACCTGAAGACCAAGAAAAATCTAAAGGGGGAAATGTATGTGCTCTGGAGCAGGTTCTACAGTAGATTTGGTATGACATTAAAACAAAATGACATTAATACTGCACAGTGTGACTGAACGAGCTGGTAGAGAATGAAGAGATCTGCTGCAGGGCACAAAGGACTGGAATGAATAGGTTTCTTTTAAGTAGGGTGTATCTACTTTGTGGCATTACAAAATTTCAACTTGACAGCGTATGGGTTACTGATTTCCTCAGTGACAGGCCGATTTAACAGGGAGACAGTTTTTTCAGCTCAGTTTTCAGAGAGATTTTTGTGGAGGACAACCAAACTGACTGACCTGGTCCCTTCTGTAAAGCAGAACACAACAGGTGGAGTGAGAAAATTAGAGTTCTATACAGTAACTTGTTGTTTGAGCTGAGTTATGGGGTACGGTGACGGGTCAACACAATGCAAAAGCCACAACACCAACACATGTTGTGGCTTTTTTTCAGCTTCTAAAGTAAAGATGAGGCATATCATTTTTTATTTTTTTTATTTGGTGAAGCAAGATAAAGACAAAGAAAGTGATAACATAACAAAACGTAACATAACAAGACAACATAATATAAGCTAGCATAACATAATGTATTATGATAGCATACACTACTACAGAGATATATTATTATATTTTGATTTCAGAGGGAGAGAAAAAAAAAACATGTAGGAAATAAACAATTAAGTTGTTAGAGGATGGGGCGTAGCGTTAATACCACATAATGTGACTGAAGGATCTGGCGGAGAGCTGGGCCTCCAGGCTGTGGAGTTCATTGGCAGGGGAAGAACAGGTGTGTTTGGTAACTGACGGTAGCTGTCACCAGGATGCCTCACCCAGCTAGACACAGAGAATAGACTGGGGACAAACAAAAGAAGAACGTTAAGAAGGAGAAAATTTAACTGTGGGTTGTAATAAACTGCTTGCACAGATTACCAAAAATGTAATCACCATGAAGAATCCCATTACATCAAAGAAAATATTCCTGGAAACGTATTAATATGGAACTGTTCACTCTTCTCTCTTAGGTCAGCATCTCTACTGTGGGCTATGGGGATGTGGTTCCTGTAACTATCCTGGGACGCATTGTGGCCTTTTGCTGCATCTCATTTGGTATCATCCTGAATGGCATGCCAATCTCCTTCCTTTTTAATAAGTTCTCTGATTACTATGCCAAGCTGAAGGCCCAGGAGTACAACACTAGCTCAGTGAAGCGACGCGTTCATCTTAAGAAGCGCCTCCTACGCAGAATGGACATGTGTTACCATCCCTCAGAGGAAGACAACAGTACAGTCAGCCACTGTGAGTGCCCACACTGAGTGACTTTTAAAATGCCATGATAAATCACAGGGGTATCTTCACAAGTGGCCTGGCGATTCCGTTATCTGTACCTGAACAGATAACTGAATGAGACAATGCAGACAGGAAGAGAAGTAGGAAGAGGAAGTTGAAGTTTGCATGCATGTAAGGTCTGAATGTGAATGTGAAACAGACACTCAACCTGTGTAGATACATACAGATTCACTAAGGAGCAGCATTTAATAATCATTAGCAAAGAAACATTCAGCTAGCACATCTTATAAAGCTTGCAACGTTATGGATTGTAAAAGCAGCAGCAGCATTTTAACGGGTTGCGACTGTTGCTGGTGGGCGTTGCACTGTGAACTGCTCTTAATGCTCTCCTGCAACACTTTTGTTAATTTGTGAAGACAGTTGATAACCACATTGCAATATCAGTTATTGCAACACTACAGATAACAGCAGACACAAGGTTTCCTTCAAATCTAAATGTAAACAGTTGGGAATTGTCTGACAGTGAAAATAATTTCAGGTTACAAGAAGATAACTTAAGACAAGGAACACCACTTTTCACTGTTTAGTTTTCCTTTTGGATGGAATTGTTTTTTCTTTTATTATTTTATCGGGGTTTGTTGCCCTCACCTGTCTTTTTAATATTCCTTTTGTTAATATATTCTCATGTCTTTCTACATTAAGTAATTAAACATGAGCATTGAACAACTAACTCGTGGTTTATCATGAAATGGCAGCAAACGCTTTGGTTGAGGTTTCCTGTTTAAGTTCCTCTCCTTTAAACTGAAAACCTGACTCTTAGCTCCTGTCTGCTCACTGGATGTAAACAGCTTTGTGTTAGAGGGTCTAAGATTGGACTGATAAAATTTGGAGCTGTGACATCACGTTATCTCAATTTATAGTTATAGTTGTATTGACCATATTGCAATTAACCGTGTTCCTCTCCTTATCATCTGAGAAACAATGGGTAAGGGAGAAAGAAAGAAGACACAAATTTTTCTCCAAAACACAAATGATCAAATATATATAGCTTTCAGTGAGATCACTTATCTTGGTTAAACATGGTATGAGTCTTGCAACAAATGTCTGAAGTTGCGAGTTGAAAGTTCATGCCTGACAGAGAAAATAGAAGATAGAAAGAAATAAAACAGTCTCACTTAAAGGACAAGAAAGGGCTTTATCCAAAGAGTACTCCACTGATTTAGCATTGTGGTCCTCCAATAGGAGAGATGTCACCTTTTTTGGTAATACTTATTTACCGGTCCTGTATTTTCCAGCTCATTTCCTAATTTCCTAAAAACTTGCTGGTATTTAGCTGTTAATAACTAGGGTATTACTGAGAAGGCCTACACACAATTGAGAATGATATGAGAAAGTTATAGTGAGTACAGTTGTTAAGTACCTGCTTCTTATACTTGAGTTTTTAAGAAAAAAACTAGCACGTTATATAATAGGTGAGTGAAAGATAGCTCTAACAGACGTCAGTATCTATCAGAGTTTCCTAGAAAGACTGACAAAAATTTGTAATTTCAATTCATTATGACTTCCAACTGCCATAAATTATAGGTCTGCATGGTAATTGGTAAATATTCGCCTATGCTGTATATTGGATTAACTGCATGCTCACCTGTAGTTTCCAGTTGCGCTGGAGATTCCTTAGTTTCGTGTTTGAATAACAGGAAAGTAAAAGTGTCAAATAAAGTTTCTAGGAAATTAGCTGGAAAGTAAAATAAAGCGTAACATCTATTTTATCCCGTGTTTTGTTCTTCCTTCTTTAAATCTGATGCTTAATGCAACATGAACAGCAGCAGTTCAGTTGAAAAGTCAGGCAATTGAACTTCAGCAAAATTGGCACCCTCACCCTTAAAATGGAAAATTTGCCTATAGCCCCCTTGTGTTACACATTATAGAGAACCCATTCGTAAGGTTTTGAGCCTCCAGAGCAGCTTTAATGCTCCTTTTGCAAGTCTTTGGAGGGGTAAACACCATTTTTCCACATTATATCCTCTCATTTAGTGTTTTGATGATGGTGGTGGAGAGTGCTGTCTCACACATAGCTCCAAAATCTCACATAGGTGTTCAGTTGGGTTGAGATCAGGTGACTGTGAAGGCCATAGCATATGATTCACATCATTTTCACACTCATCAAACAATCCAGTGACCTCTCGTGCCCTGTATGGAAGCATCAGCATTCGGGTTTTTCCTCCAATTTGTCACAGCTCAGATCACTATTTTGGGTTTGTAAAGCTAGGTATCTCAGTAACCCAAATCAGTTGTTCATCACTGTCTCATAAATACATCTGAACAACAATGCAAAGGTTTGTGTCAGTTAATCTTAATTCATTGTGCTCATTACATACTTGTTGACTTGTGAAGACTTGTCTTCAAAAATAAGTAACCTGATCAGCTTTCCTTTCAGTATCATCTGAGGCCACATCAAATAAAAAGAAGAACCAAGCTGCTCAGAGACAAGGTTTCCTTTTATAAACCTGACCACATGCAATAAAGTGTCTCAAAACGTGTTGCATCAACTGTTCCAGACCCAGAACAAGTTCTCTACTGAGCTGTTCCCAACTGAGTAAACAAACATGCTTCACATTTGTCAGGCATTGCTGGTTGTGTCATTGTACACAGTGACATTCAAACACTCCATAAAACATTAAATCGGAGTGTTTTACTAGTATTTTATTGTTTAGTAAACAACCACAGTAAACTAAGGTCCAGACAAAGTAAAAGTTCAATATTTGTGAGTTAGTTTTTCTCTCTCTCTTTTTTCTTTTTCTTTTTTTTTTTAAAATTAAATTGGCTTAAGTGTCTTGAGGCAATGCACTTTGGTAAGGTGATGAAAAGACAGCAAGATCACACCACAACATACACTATATTTGAAGAAGCTGCAATTGATTAAATCATGAAATATATAGGAGAGGAGACTCATTGTGGTGATAGTCTGTTTATCATAAATCTAAATGTTCAATCTGCTCTCTCCCTGGCCACCAGAAGCTCTACATCCGTCTCATGAGGATGTTCACTGAGGCATACTTTTCCCAGTGTGTTTTGTATTTAAATTAATCTGCATGCTGTATACAGGCTAAGGGGAAGTTGTCATCAAACTTCATCTTTTATTGTCATAAAGGTATTGAGTTACCCTATCCTCTATGAGTAACAAAAAGTATCTATTCACATTCAGACACATGGGTGTAGCAGTCACTGTTAAAGTGAAACTGTTCTGTAAATAGAGCCTGTTGTGTCAAATTTTGACCCCCAAAGTGGATTTGTGAGAATTTTTTTTTTAAAAGACATGTACATTACAACAGATTTGAAAACACTTACATCTGTCTGTGCCTACTTAGATTTAAAAAGATAATTAATATCTGGCTAATTTTAAACTTTTGCATATACACAGTCTACAAGCTATTACGCCTACCCAATACATAGGTATGCATAGACCATAAGGATCCATTGTGCAACTATATTACACTTATGTCAGTTCTCATTGTGAATTTGATTGACAGATTCGCAGGCCTCGCCTGTCACGACTGAACAAGGACTTGAACCCAAATGCACGACTCAAGACCCAAAAAGTACAAAATAAACAATCTTTTATTGATAAAGTAACAACACAAAATCACTCGTTCCGAGGAATCCAAAAAAAGGTAACAAAAGTAACAACTCAAAATCACTCTCAAAGGAGGCAAGAAACTACAAAGCAAAGTACAACTAAAAATCGCTCTTGATAGAGGGAAACAATAGTGTGACAGAAATAACAAGGTCAAAACAAGAACTCAAAAGAGCCTGACGTGACTTGGGCTTGGCGAGGAATGGCTTGGCTCTGTATCAAACAAGGCGAACTAGCACAGGACAAAGGGAGACACAGACTCTAAATACACACAAGATAAAGGGACACAGGTGGGACAATCAGGGAGGGGCAGGCAATCAGACTGGCGGGACACACACGGGGGGAAGGAGCAAGTTATCTGAAACGAGAGGGAAGTAAGATTTCAATATAAAACAGGAAGTCACGAGACAGCATAAAGACAGGACAACACAAAAGGAACAACATAATTTCTTGGACATGACATCGCCTTAGTTTGGTCTTCTATGACTTTGTGTATGTATGTACAGCAAAGGAGAGTAAAGCAGGTCTGCCCTGTTGGAATAGTTATTTGTCAATACCAAGTAATCGGGATTCAAAGGAGAACTCAACATTTCAACCATGACAAATTCTAAAGAGCAAAGTAATACTGAAACTGAGAACCAATGTAAAACCACTGTTAAATATAAATAATTCTTCTTTTTTCTGTGGTTTTCCCCAGCTGCATTAAAGCTCAAATGTTACAAAAGGTGTCCATACACACGTGTTTGAGGTCAGTGGGAACTGTAATATTCATTAAGTGGTAGGTGTGACAATTCCACCCATTTTTTGGTACAATTAATGCAATAATGACATCCTACTAATATCTACAGTGTAGATTCGGAGCTGACAGTCTATCTAAGCTCAAGTCATTATGAATGCAGAATAGCCCATGTCATTGTTATGTTATTATTAATCTGATTCAATTAATTAAGCATTATCATATACAGAAGGCAGCATTTTGATGTTATATCTGGTTGCAGTGGAGCTCATGTAAACTATTTTATGTGGTTTTTAATATTTACTGTATCATGACTCATGATAATTTATACGTTCATTTGAAATCTTAAATCAGCAATGTGACTACAGCTGTGAAATAAATGTAGTGTAGTAATAAAGTAGCATATTTCCCTGAAATGTAGCGAATAAAAGTAGTGTAAAAGATAGATAGATAGATAGATAGATAGATAGATAGATAGATAGATAGATAGATAGATAGACATGAGTCTCCTGTTGAGAGGCTCAGCAGCAGAAACAGGCACCGCCCAGTGGGCTGCGCACATCAAGATGGAGCAGAGAGTCACGCTGTTGCACACAGATTTGATCAATGATCTGAGCAGCGACAGAGACAGATGACAAGACTGATCTCCCTTTTTCGGTAAGTACCCGTTGTCAACTGTAAAAATACAACTTCGTACTGCAGCTTATCCAGTAGCTTCTCCTGCGCAGAAAAAGTTGAAGTTAACGAGGCAAGAGCGAGTCTCTGTTATACAGTACCTAATGGGAAATATTTAGCAGTTTAGTGGTACACTTGAACATTTTTATTTTTTACTTAAAACCTTACGCTATGTAGTTGAGATAGCCTGCTTGACTGGTGGCACATAAACCATCAGCTCGTAAAAACAGGCATCAAGCATTAATATAAGAATTGTTTTAAGTTTTTCCCCTTTATCTTCTTATATCTATCCTATATCTTCCCTATATCGAAAGCGTGTTTTTATGCTTTTGATGCAGTCCTTTCGTAGCGTCTAGTCTATAATATGCATACGCCCTTATGAAAGATTGTTTTTGTTTCCATTCTCCTCTGCAACCTCTCATAGCCTACACTCTGCCTCAAAATCTGTGGGATTCACGCGGAAATAAACTGACACTGAAGTCATCACTGGTAAAATAAATAAATAAATAAATAAATAAATTTAAATAATATAATAATAAATAATTTAAATTCGAGGTCATTTAGAAACCTGGGAAACAAAAATGAGTAGGCTTAATATGTTTCTTAAGCAATATTCGCATCATAGTTTCACATGGTTTCACAGCAAAGTATCAAGAATTGAAAGTGAAATATAGTTGGGCCTGGGGGGAGTATATGCAAATGAGACTTGTTCTGTGAACTATGTAACATAATTGAAATATAAACCCAAGATAGATTCCAGTAGATGTAGTTCACTAGTTATATGGACATTTCAGATTGAGTTATGGTTTTCACCGTTTGTGGCTACTGCTGCTGAGATCATAATGCTCCGGGTAATAGATTTCAATAGATCTATTCAGAAGTCAGTTACTCAGCATGGCGTACACCACATTCTGACATGGTTTTTTTCAAAATGTCGAAAATGATTATTCAGTTGTTAAAATAGTAGCCGTTTAATTATCTGTCGATCGATGTAGTCGATAGATTAATCGACTAATTGTAGCTCTAATTGTTTTTGTTTGTAAAATCTGAATCTGCAGAGTGACTAGTAACTATAAATGTCAGATAATTGTTATGCTTATATTTTTGGGATAGACTGAGGCAAACAACAGAAAACATAATGACTCAAAGAAAAGATAATGATTCAACTGTAATTATTAGAGTCTAATCGTGACCTTTGACTCCCGGAAACTTTTAATTGTTGATGCATCATTCTAGAAGGAGGACATTATGCAAAACACAATAACCTGGCAATAGGAAGAAGGAAGAAGCATTGCAAATACGTAGATCAAATAGATGTAAGACTTCTGACAGGCTCAGCAAACACCAACCAACTTTGTATCAATACCATATAATTACACTTCAGGAAATCCCAGCCTTCATTTATAGTTCGGGCAGATTTTATTGCAACATACAATCAGTTGGGTATCTCTGTGCCATCATTTCTTCATTATGAGCAACAGAGTGAGGCTTGTGCTTGAGCAAGACAGGTCCTTTTTCTGTCATTTTACAGTAAAAAATATATTTCAGTTGGGAGCTTCCCTTTATTCACGTTTCACTAAATGAGATTTTGAGTTTGTTTTAATGATTTAATGTCTGACATCACCAATGTAAAACATACTTCGCCCATCAGGGTGAGGAGACATGACAGCATTTGCTTGCCGCCCTCCACCCCATGTAGTAGTACAGCATGTGAGAAATCTGCAGCATGATGCCAAGCCACCTCATGTCTGCTCTGATGCTCAGTCTGCTCACTCCTGTTTGCTTCTGCTTCAGAACAGTAATGTCATAGTGCAAGTGGGCCTCAGAGGGAGATTGTATTGGCATGAACAAAAGCTTTATTTTATGGGCACTTACTGTTTCTGTGCCTTGTATGTCATGACTGAAGCCAAATACTCAAAATGCTGTCTCATTATTCCAGAATAACTGCTTTCAATTCTCAAACATTGCATTCTGGCGTTTTTGGCACAGGAAAGGACTTTTCCTGTTATGCAGTATTCTTCTTTGATGCAGTGTGTGTGTGTGTGTGTGTGTGTGTGTGGGTAAGACTACTTGTAAATTGACAGACATTATTCTCTTGTGGTGAGTTCTGGGCCATGCAAAGAGAGAGTGGCTGATGGAGGCTTGTTCATTTTAGCAATAATTTAGTATTATAATAGTTTGAACAACGTACAAACACGAGTATTAGGATTTCTTAGAAGCATATTGTTTACACTAGGTACACTTTAGTGGTAGAGTGTTATATTAGCACACATTTAGTCCCATTATCTTATTTTTTTTAATTGTGATTTGTTAAATTAAAAAAACGCATCATCATATCATATCATATCATATCATATCATATCATATCATATCATATCATATCATATCTTCTTGTGTAAACATTGCTCATTTTCATTTGCTTAAAGCAAAGTGAGACATTTTGAAAGGGGGCACTAGTAATGATTAACCTACAGGGGAAGTTTCACCTGAATCTTAAGCCACCCTTGGCTTTACCGAGTTTTATAGTCTAAAGAAGTTCCAGCTCTGCAACGTTACTGTTTTAATTCATTCTCAAGACCAAAAGACCAAAAACAGAGCTAAATCAGAGTGAATATTAGATTGAGACAGACTCCAAATGAATGATAAAATTGTTTAAGTCCCCCCCCCCAACATTCATGGCCCAAAGTGAAATTTGTTAGCAGACTGATATGGATACTGATATGGATTTGTTTGTCCTTATCCTTAATTTACCTGAACAATTAATTTATAATTAATATTATCAATTATTTTATGTGTGACTGAGATGTGTTGATAACAAAGCTGTGTTCTATTTTTCCATTGCAGGGTCTCAAGCATGAAAAACAACAAAATAACAATATGCTTGGTGACAATATTTTTTTTGTTGGTCCTCCATCTCTATAAAGATTTTATTGAGACCAAAACCATCAACCTCCACACAGATGTGAAAGAGGAGAACCGTCAAACAAGGCAGCGCACCAAAAAGTGGTCCAATCTATACTCCTGGCCAAAATGTCAACAAAATATTTCAGCTGACAGCATCACAGGCTTCAGCTCTCTTCCAGGTAATGTAAAAGATTTTCTCTACTATCGTCACTGTCGCCATTTTCCCATGCTACTGGATTTTCCTGACAAATGTGGAGGAGCTGATAAATCAGCAGAAGTCTTCCTTCTACTGGTCATCAAAAGCTCCCCCACGAACTATGACCGCCGAGAGGTGCTGCGCAAAACCTGGGCTCAAGAGAGGCTACACAATGGTGTGTGGATCCGGAGGATCTTCATCTCAGGAACGATGAATTCTGGTTTTGAGAAAGAAAGACTGAACAAACTACTTGAACTGGAGCAACGTGAGTACAGCGACATCCTCCAATGGGACTTTAGCGACACCTTCTACAACCTCACCTTGAAGCAAATACTCTTCCTGGAATGGATGGAAAGAAACTGTCCAAAAGCTCACTTCCTGCTAAATGGTGATGATGATGTTTTTGCCAACACAGACAGCATGATCGAGTATCTCCAAAGCCTCAAGGACAATAATGGAAGCAAGCACCTCTTTACTGGCCATTTGATCCAGAATGTCGGGCCCATTAGATTATCAGGCAGCAAGTATTTTATCCCAGTACAGGTGCATGAGTCAGATTCATACCCCCCCTACTGTGGTGGTGGGGGCTTCCTGTTGTCTGCCCATACAGCTATGGTTATATACAGTATGTCCCAGTCCACTCCCATTCTTCCCATTGACGATGTTTATATGGGGATGTGTCTGGCTAAGGCAGGACTAGGTCCTACTTCCCATATAGGTGTGAAGACCGCAGGACTGTACATCCCCTCCAGAAAACTAGATGAGTATAATCCTTGCTATTATAAAGACATTTTATTGGTACACAGATTCCTTCCACCTCAAATGTATCTTATGTGGAAGAGAATACATGATCCCAAGCTGCGATGTGGTCACCAAAATAAACAACGTTAGTAGCATCAAACTGCCATTTAACTGTGATGACTGTGCTTGTTGACCTGCACTTAGGCTGTGAGTGCAGGCACGACCTTCTTACTTGTGTCATGGCAAAAGGTTTGAACAGTTTTTCTACCAGTTTTTATGATGTGTGTAATCTTTGTAAGTACCATACAGCTGCTTTGATGGGCCTGAAAATGTAACCGCAACAATAGCAACAATAATTAACATCTTAACAAGGGCTGGGCTGACAGTGACCTAAAAGTCCAGCTGAAACCAGTTCTGAACAGCGGTTGTTCATAGCTTAACAACCATGAGTAGTCACAGGGGTCCTGTGAAAATTTCTCCACATGCTAAAGCAGCATGCATGGGGCTGAATTAAGAGTGATACTCAGTAGATAGAATATTTGGAGGGTATGGAACATGCAAGAACAAAGAGCTTCACACAACAGTAACTAAAGGGGGCAGGGCTTAGCTAATCAGAAATTCAACTTTATGTAAAAACATATTCCTAAATATAGCTTCTTGGTTAATATTCAGTGGTTTCCCTTTCAGCAATGAGTAAAGCAAACAAGAGTTTCAACAATTGATTTATTATGAAATAAATAAAATGTTGTTTCATGATTTAACTAAGATTTAGCTTGCAGGAGGTTACACCGGTTACTTGTTTGTCCCACCCTGACTGTAGCACACATATGTTTGCACATTTTTGTGCAGATCCAGACAATAAACCGGATCTGGTGGAAGAAAATGTCCTTGGTGAAGGTATGTGCTGTAGTGACTGCCATTCTAATTCCTCAGGCTTTTGTAAGACTAATAGTGTATTGTAATGTTATTTAATTGCTGGCTTAAGTTCATATGTTTACAGTTTTCTTTTATTTATTTATTTTTTCCAGTATAACCTGTATATTTGTGTTAGCACAATATGTTGAGAAAGAGATGAATGTTTTTGTGCCTTCGATCAGTGCTTCTCAACCAGAACCAAAAACAGGTTTTTCAGGATTTACATTTCTGTCCTGTCAAATATAACAATCCTAATCAGGTGTCGGTAGTAAGGAATAAGGGGTCTCCAGTAACGACTCGTGAAATGAATGCTTAAATCTAATGAATGCTTAAATCTATTTTATTTTCATTCTGCTAAGAGAATATGTACAGTATTTTTGTGCTATTTTATTATTAAAAATGTTTTAGATGAAAAAAAACGTATTGAAATAAATTCTATAAAAGAAAGTGTTCTCTGTTCTCTGACCTTTTTCAGGGCACACCTAATGGGAAATGTTTCTCTGAACGTACAGTTTAGCTGTTCCGTGCCCCCGTGTGTGATTCATATCTACCTACATATACATATGCACATACACTATCGGCTGCTATTTAAATTTACATGATTAAATGCCTCAGTGTTTCTGAAATTAAAGCAGAGCACAAATAAACAATAGGAGACTTTAAAAACAAAGAATCATTGAATCTTCTTGTTGAACTAAATTTAATTTAAATTTTCGTCTCAACGCACGCTGTTCTCTCTACAACGGAAATCAAGTATTGTTCTGAAAGTCCGTCCCAACACTGTTGCAGAAGTAATGTACTGCATTTACAGTTTGCTTTGCTTTCACCTTCCGTCCACTTCATCCCCAACCAACTCCACGGGGTTTAAGTGTGGAGATTGTGCTGGTGTTCCATAATGTGAAGCCACCGTCTACTTCTACAGTCCACAAGGCATTAACACTGTGCACAGCTGTTTACATTCCAACACCATTAGGCTAGTTTTTGGAAGTGACCTCAAATGAAAGTAAATGAATGGGCGGTACAAATTAAGAAGACAGGGCCCCTTTGTCATAACACTGTATGAAATTCCTGCTGTTATCGAACCCACTATCAAAACCCACTGTGGCTCTGACCAGCCAACTAGATGCATTTACTCATTTGGCAGAAACTTTTGTCCAAAGCAACTTAAAAGTGAAACATAAGAGATCGGAGATGTGGGCAGGTGGTCAGAGGCCTTAAACCAACCTGGATCAAAGCGTGATCGTGATGGTGAGGGTGAAATAAATCCCTGCTATTTTTTGGTTGTAAGATAGGGAATTTGGTAAACTATCTTGTATTCCTAATATAGTGATGTTTGACAGTGTTTTATTCAAGCTTCAGGATGTGTCCCCCACGCAGGAATAAACACATTTCCTGATTGGATGTTGAAAGTCATCACTATATGGGCTAATATTTCACTGGCATTGGCTCATGTGAGACCTTCCTTCCTGAGACAACATGAGGGAAATATTATAAAATTATTCAACCATTTGTTCCTTTTAGAAACGGACATACTGGAAAGTTGGTAACTGAAACTATCCAGATTTATTTTGATAGTAGTTTGTAAATGTTAAATGTTGGTAAATGTTAAATATAAAGAGAAGAGAATCTGACAGTGCTAAATTAATACAGGTTGTGTCTTCATGCATCTAAAAAAGAATAAAAACAATAAATGCAAAGTCCAGTGATTTTATGAAGGCTCGTGTCAATGCCATTTGCATTTATTGCTTTTATCTTGTAGGAAGTTGTTTTTTTGTAATAATTAAATAAAGGTAAAGTAAATAATTAAAGTAAAAAGTGCTGATTTACCAGAACTCCGGTTGTTACTGACCAGTCAATTCATTGTGCTGTTTATTGTATTTAAGTTGCCGGAGACTGTCTTTATGTGTAGTTTGTTCAATCTTTGCTAGTCTCCAGGTTTGTCTAAGCAGACTTCTGCATTGACTGTCACAGTGACATGTCATGCGGTCGTTATCTCGTGAGCCAGAAAGGAAAGGAAGGAAGGAAGGAAACACAGATGCATGAAAGCGGGTGTGCTGTGGAAACTCCTTTTGTTGTGACTACGAGAGGCATCAATGAACACCTTTCTCCCTGAAATATCTTGGTTTTTGGAGTCAAATTCACTCAAATGAACTAAAACTAATGCTGTGAGCTGTCAGTGCATGGTTACTGACACACAGCTCAGGTAAAACCCACTTCCTTTCTTGCTCATCGACAACACTCAGCATATGGTGTGAGTAGCTGTCATGACCAAAGGCGGAGTGTTAATTAATTGCCCTAGAGGTAACAAAAAATGATTGATCAAGTATTAAATGTGCTGCGGTAATTATCTGAAAGGCTCATACAAACTGAATAAAGGATTTTAGGTAGGTGGGTGCTGTGCTGACGTAAACTTAATGTGAGCAGTGACATGGAGCCAGTGGAGATTAGTGAAGAGCAGAGTAACATGGGTGTGTTTTACTGTGTGAGCTGTCAGCCCTGCCAATCGAGCATTAAGTAGCTAAGACTCTTTCTGTTCCAGCTTGGCAAGGGGGACAACTAAGTACCAGCTGCATTACAATGGTGAAAGAAGCAATAGGTGCATTTCTATTCATACATGTTGTGCTACTGCTGTTCTAGGGAAGTGTCGGTTCTCGATGGTATGTCACTCACCAAGTTTAATTCATGAGAACTGGTGAGATGATGGTGTACCACTCCTCTTCTATTTCCATGTACCATTCTCCAGTGGCTTATGTGGATTCTTTACAGCTGTTGTGCTGAAATCAAAAGAGGATAGACGAAAGTGATACGCTCCGAGGTCTGAGGTCTCTGGATTTGCATTTAACATTGGATAGCCAGGGCTTTGCAGAACTAGGTTGACCAGAGTTAAGCACCAGCTTGGGATCTTTTTTGGACTTACAGTATACACACTGACTGATCAGCCTGTAGGATGAATGTTGGTTGCTGATAATAATTAATTTTGCTGCATGGATGTTCTTCCTTGTCATGTTATTATCAGAATATTCCGTATACTATGGATTTCACAGATTTTGTATTTTTTGTTTAGGCTTATACCACTGATGTTACTGGTATCTTAAGCAACAGGAAACCTCTCACAATGTGAAATGATTTACTGTCATGTGCCAAAGATAAAAGATATCATAAAATTGAATCATAGAAAAGAAACTGCAGTCTGGATCAAATTGGTAACTGACGGCAAGTTACCTGAGATTCTCAAATCTGTTTAATGATCACACTGAGATTTACGCAATATGGATTTTATTACTGAACTGTCCAATTGTCTTCAACTTTATAATTCTGTTTCACCTTTGAATCCCTTGTAGATACAGTTTATATGAACACAATGTATTTATTCATTAGTTCTTCAGTGCGTCAGGGATTTTAAAGAACAGAATTTAGTTATGTCAGTAAAGAAAAACAAAAAGCTACTGGAACCACATCACTTTATTTCAAACATGGCAAAGGATGTAAACATGAATACAAAATACAACACATTTTTCACTGGAACACAGCACTACTACACTATAAAGGCAGAAATATTTGATTCAAATATATTTCTGGTTCATACATTTCTAACACAAAGCTTTAAATCCTTTCTTTAACTCTTTGAACCCTTTGGATGTAGCCACAGTATAAAAGCCACAGTATACAAACCTTCACAGTGCCCGATGCATTGTACCTTGCATTTCCTGAATTAACCAGCATTTTATTTTGTAATAAATGTGGTGTGAGAAAGAGTTCTAGTTCAAATTTTATTCCAGAAAGATTAGCCTTGAGCACTGAGCTTGTCTGCTTATTGTGTGTGAATGTTTTTATTCATTTGACTTTGACATATGTATCCGCAGAACTGGAATTACATCAGGGTAACTTCTATTTTTCATATGCTGTTAGTAAATGTTTTGTGCCATCTGCTAATCATTAATAGCCTTTGTGACACATTACAGTTTATGATAGTCTTCCCTGAGCTTGCTTGAGGTTGTGTCTGTGCACATTATGAGATTGGGAAAAAGGGCTTTAAGTGAGCTTTACCTGAGAGTTTCGGAAGTAGCTTACCAAAAACGTATGACTGCTGAAATTCTACTGATAATAAGTTAGTATGCGAATGGTCAAAAAAACGGATGATGTCCACTGCTGTGTTGTCTTGTACCTGAGCGATGTGAATTTCCACAGGGACAGTGAATGAAATTGTGTCATTTCACTCGGAGTTCAACTGTGAGGTGCAACAAGGCGTCCTTGTCAGCCTTTAGGGTTTTCTCTGTCATCCTGCATGATCGTTTCAATTTGGTTTCCCAGGCTGGAGAAGCACGGCCGCTCGTCGAAGTTGTGCGCCCAGCACTGCTTCATCAAACTGTACACCTGGTGGTACAATGAGAAAAATGTAAAATGTAATTTTTTTTAATCAATGTGAAAGATTATACAGCGAACTGTTGACATTTGTGTGGTGTGGAATGACAACCACAGTGATCAGATGAAGAGTTGCAGGTCAAAATGAGATGTTTACAATTTTTTTTTTTTATCATGATGGAATAAAAAGACAAAAAAAAACAAAACAAATCTAAATATGGAAAATGGTCATGTCTCACCAGTGACTTCTCTGACTTACAGAATATTTGTTATGTATATGTCAATGTAGTAAAGTCACAAATAATTTAATTATAAACAAGATGAGTGTCATGAGTCGTGACTGGGCCCTGTTTATGTTGGCCATTCTGCCTCTGTCTTCTGCCATATTCCGCTCACCAACCCGACGCCCCCTCCTGTTCCCGGTTTCCACCTCTTCACCTGTTTCCCATTCCCAATCACTGGAACCTCCCTGCCTACCTGCACACCAGTCTCTCATTTCCCTCATTTGATCCCCTGTATTTATACCAGCCCAGTTAGTTGCCAGGTTGTTTCACAGATTCTCTCTGTGCAGCTCCCTTCATGCTGATGACCAGTATTTTGCTACCTGTTGTCTCTTACCTGCCTGGCCTTCATCATTTGTTCTATGAAAGTACCTTGCTGCCACCACCAGCTGTGACAGTGAGAGAAATACAGCAGCCTTCCAAAAAGGCTGCTGTATTCCAGCTGATAGATAGAACCACACAGAGTGAACGTACCTTTGGTGGGCAGTGCGTCGGAGCCGGCAACCTCCAGTTATTCTTTAGAATATTTGCAAGATGCATTGAAATGGATGGACCCTGCACGTGGTGTCCAATCTCCTGCATGCACAGCTACAACAGTGGCACAAATTTTGAAAAAGGGAAAAAAATACAGTTTGATGAAACAGGTGTTGATGATTAAAAACACCTGAAGTATGATAAAAATAGATTCTGACAATCCCCTTACTCTCTTTGGGTTGCAGTTCATGTCGCAGTAGGAGAAGAGCTCATGAAGAACAACTCCGAAACTCCAGA